GAACAGAAGGATCACATATTTATGATGGATAGTAATGCATGGCTTAGAACCATTCATGAACGAAAGGAGTACCTTTGCGCCAATGCTACGGACATCGCGATAGCAGAGGGAAAATACAAAGCTAAAAAGATGGAAGAAGTTGTTCCGGGACATGACTGAGATTACGCCGACGTGTTCTCCGAAGACACATTTAATGCTCTTCCTGATCGGAAGCCGTGGGACCACGTGATAAAACTCCTCCCAGGAGCTAAACCCTATTGCGGAAAAGTCTATCCGATGACTCTAAATGAGCAGAAGGTGCTAGATGAATTTCTTAGAAGAAAATCTCGGGCCTGGACGCATCAGACCCTCGAAGTCACCATGGGGGGCTCCATTCTTCTTTGTAAAAAAAAGGACGGAAAGTTGTGGCCTGTGCAGGACTATCGTAAATTAAACGAGATGACAAAGAAAAACAAATACCCTTTGCCACTCATCTCGAACTATTGAACAAGTTAAAAAACTGTTGTTATTTCTCGAAGCTGGATATCAGATGGGGATACAACAACGTTCGTATGAAAAAGGGGGACGAAGAGAAAGCCGCATTCATCACAAATCGCGGGCTTTACGAACCCCTGGTCATGTTCTTTGGCCTCACGAACTCCCCTGCCACCTTCCAAATGATGATGAACGACTTGTTCTATGAGATGATAATGGAAGGGAAGGTCATCATTTATTTAGATGATATCTTGATATTCTCTGACAATTTGCGAACACATTGTGAGGACGTTCGATGTGTATTAGACATACTGAGCCTAAACAAACTCACGTGTAAGCCAGAAAAATGCGAATTTGAAAAGTCAGAAGTCGAATATTTCGGACATCTTATTTCATATGATACAATAAGGATGGACCCTGGGAAAGTGGCAGTGGTCGCGGAATGGCCCGAGCCCATGTGCAAGAAGGACTTGCAAAGTTTCCTGGGATTTGCGAACTTTTACCGTAGATTTGTGAAGGACTTCGCCCGAATTGCGACGCCTTTGAACCGCTTGACTGGCAATGTTGAGTGGGAGTTTGGAGCCAGATGCAAGGAAGCATTTGGTAGGCTCAAAGACACTCTTATGAACGCTCCAGTTCTCGGTATTCCCACAGACAATGATCCATTTAGAGTAGAAGTTGACGCGTCGAAGTACGCTGTTGGCGCCGTACTTTCACAGAAACAGAACGATGTTTGGCATCCCGTCTGTTTCTTATCTCATAGTCTGTCTCCTGCTGAGAGGAACTATGAAATTTACGATAGAGAACTTTTAGCTATTATTGTAGCATTAGAAGAGTGGCGACATTTCTTACTTAGTGCTGCGCATACGGTAGAAATCTGGATGGACCACAAAAACCTAGAATACTTCAGGAAGCCGCAGCGGATCAACCCGCGCCAGGCGCGCTGGGTCTCGACGCTCCAGGAGTACGACTTTATTTAAACCCACAAGGCGGGAAAAACAAACATCGTGGCAGACCCTTTGTCTCGCAGGCCAGACCTCAACATTGGTGATGGCCACTTAGAGGATGTCACTGTTTTAAAAGCTGAATATTTTAACATGATCATGGTGCCGAGCACCGATGATATAATTAAATGTGCTAAATTATCAATACCCAACTACCCAGAACCAGTAGTTTGGTTATTGGACAAGGACCCTCATGTGACAACCGAGGACGGTCTAATCCATAGAAGGGGGAGACTTGTTATACCCACGAACCGATCTCTAATCAGTGACGTCATTGCTGCGCATCATAACATGCCCAGTGCGGGTCATCCCGGCATTGAAAAAACCATAGAGTTGGTAGATCATTCGTACTGGTGGCCCACCAGGAAAAAGGACATTTACAACTATGTTATTGGATGCAAAGCGTGTCAAAAGGCAAAAGCCCATAGACAAGCACGTGCTGCTCCATTAAATCCTAATCCTATGCCGGAAAACAACTGGGAGTTCATATCAGTCAATCTGATTACACACCTTCCAAAAGTTCACAGACACAATTTTATTCTTAACTTCATCGATTTGAAATCGAAGGACTATATTTTGGTAGCCACTTCCAACACATTGTCTTCAGAAGGCTTTGCAAACCTTTATCTGAAGCACGTCTTTTCAAAGCATGGACTATCTCGCCCAATCTTTTCAGATCGAGGCCCACAATTTGTTTCTAATTTTATACGGGATGTTTACAAGAAGCTTGGGATCACGGGAAATCCTAGTATCGCATATCACCCGCAGACGGACGGACAGACAGAACGTGTCAATCAGGAACTCGAGACGTATCTTCGGATCTTCGTCTCGTACTGACAAGATGATTGGCCGGACTGGCTCCCAATGGCGGAATTCACTCATCGAAACTGCAAACATTCGTCTACCAGCTTCTCGCCCTTCTATTTAACACACGGACACGATGCCTTCACAGGCGTGGAGACGAGAAAGGAGATAAAGAACGAGTCAGCAGCACAGTGGGCTAAGAAAATGGCTCAATTGCAGAAAGAAGCTAGCCAGGCGCTAGAACTTAGCAAGGAGTCAATGAAAAAATATTACAACCGCAAGAAGAAGGATGCGCGGGAGTATAAAGAAGAAGATCTGGTATGGGTTGAAGGGACCAATATCAGAATAGAAAATCCAAATAAAAAGATGGACGATAAGCGATACAATCCTTTCCGTATTGAGAAAAAGATAGGCGCAAGCGCCTTTAAATTAAAGTTACTAGCATCTTGGAAGGGGATTCACCCCGTGTTCAACAAGTCACTCCTTGACCCTTACGTTGAACCCACATTCCCTAATCAGGACTCTTCTCATACGATACCGCCGCTTGTAGATCAACCGGACGCTGTAGATGAGATTTTGGACTCTCGGGAACGTAAGAACGGACTACAGTACCTGGTGCATTGGAAGGGCAAGCCCCATTCCAAAAATACCTGGGAACCACGTAGCGGACTATTACATACATCGAAGGACCTTTTAGATAAATTCCACAAGGACCACCCGAATGCGCCGAAACCCCTGAGTATTCGTATACCCACACGAGTACGCTTTTCAGAAATGATGGAAGTAGCAGAGGGACCGGATGACCAAGAATGGGAAAAATGGGGTAATACATACCAAAGATGGCAAGAGCACAAGAAATTGCACTCTTTACTATTACACGCAAATCTTAAACCAGACGCCGAGCACGTGATCTTACCAATGCACTTAAATATCGGCCACGTCTGGTTCTGCGACTCACACCACTGAGTTCACTACATCGCGGTCGTAAATAGCCCATCTTCCCACGGCAATAAATTTGCCTACCCAATTCAATCCATCCTCAAAACCCGTGAAAACATCATATGTACTCATCCGGAAGCGAGCCTATACGAACATTCAAATAACTTACCTCTCAACATTGCCCTCTGGTAGATGTCGAACATCGCTCTCTGGGCACTACTCGGTGTCGTTGCACTATTCAGTGTGTGCGGCACAGTGATTATACTGGCCAAGTGGTATCGATCACAACGCGGAACAGAGCATATCGAGCTCCAACCCCATCCCGAACGCGGCTACACATCGCTCGTCATCAATCGGGACGGTGAACCACAAATGCTGCCGCCCGTACATATCCAGAACCCGAGTGAGTGGACTCTCCAAAACCCACAATGCGAGGACGCATCGTCCTAAAGAGGGGGGTAATGTTACAGTTCTTTCATATCGGACGCATTACTTCAGACCACGGAACCTTATCTCCATTTAGTTACCATATATGTCTTTTGTTTTCTCATGCCTATCTCGGATCTTACCTATGCCACAGATATGCTCTCTCATGTAATATGTAGTTACTCATGCGGTTGGTACAATATATAAGCAGGCTGAAGCTGAGGGCAATCCTCAGTCTTCAGTTGGCACTTTCAATGCTAAAACCTAGCCGTGTCACTTGTTGTGGCCTTCGAGGAACTGCACCAATCCTTTTGGCGTAGACGGCCGCACGGAACTGCTCCTTGTAAAGGATCCAGTTCAATCCATCCTCAATTAACTTCAGGATGCGGCTGGTCGTCGATTCGCTCGGATTGAGCCGGAACTCGTAAGAGGAGGCGGGGCTCATAACCTCTTAATGAGGTACGAGCGATGTCGGATCTAACAACATTCGGTCAGAGCTTCAGTGAGTAAAATATCGACTCTATTACTGTACCTAACGACGTTCGGTCACTTTACAGGAGATCAGTATATGTACAGTACTTAGAGGTAGAAAAGGACTTACGAGCTTCAGTGAGTAAAACATCGACTGAAGCTCGCATCGTGAAAATGACAGGTATATAGCGTGCCGTAGTAGGGTGAGTCACCTGTATCTATGGTGCGCGGGCTAAACGAAGAGGACGGGGTATTTACAGACAGGAACAGGGGCGCCAGGGGCGCCAGGGGCGCGACAACATCACGCTGATCCCGACGCGATAATGCAACGTCATGCGCGCGCATATCCACGCGGGGCGTACGGACGCGCTTGTCCGTCAACACCTGCTCCCCTAGTTCTTTCCTCAGTTGTTCAACCACTACGGCTGAGGTACATTTGCTCTGTCCTGTTTTCCTATACCTGTACTGATTCGATATGTAGTCGTAGACTTACGAGTATTTGGAACAGGTATAAATAGTTGTTTTACCACCATGGCTGAGTTGTAGACTTACGAGTATTCAGTACAGGTTCCTAAACTGTACAGTTCTCATTCTTCGACCTGGTAGGACATTCGTACCCGCTATGTATTCAAACTTCAGTTCGACCCTTACGGCCGCACTGAAGCTTGCGAGTCTATTCTTGTCCCTTGACACCTTCGTGATATTGATGTACTGTAGAATTTACTTTGTTCTATACATGTGCATATAGAGTTTGACCCTTACAGCCACACTGAAGCTTGATATACTTTGTTCTATACAGACAAACCATCACATCAGCTTGATTGCTTGTTTAGCACAATAATGATCCCCCTTTTACATGGCATGCCACACATTTTCTCAGATAATTTAATGCCAATCCAATAAATGAATGCTAGAGAACATGGAGCTGCGCCAAACCACCACACAAGGTTATCCTATACAGTTGGAACACGGCTCCAGACAACAATGAACAGGAACGGACAGAAGCCAAGTCGGCCCAGCTTTTGGCTGTCGATCAGTGTACGCTCCCGACGAGCGCGGCGGAGGCCAGTCGGCCCTCCTTGATGCGCTGCTGCGTGCGCTCGGCGGCGGCATCGTACACATAATGCACCTGGTGGTGCCACGGGTGGTGCCGGTGCCGGCTGCCGTCGTCCGAGTCGGACTCGTCGCTCGGGCGCTGCGACTCGTCCGTGTGGTCGTGGAACATGTCGTCGGGGTCGAAGGCTGCGCGGCGAAGCACGTCAGTCAGCGTGCGCGCGCGCGAGACGGCGGCGGACTTACGATCTGGCGCCAGGTCGACGACCTTGCGCTTGCCCAGGGCCTTTGCGCTCGGCCTCAGGGGTGTCCCGCGCTCGTCCACCGCGTCGCTGTCGTGCAGGCGCAGGCGGCTCACGTCGCGCGCCAGGACCCCGGGGTTGCTCTCCAGCGAGCTGCGGGAGCCGTAGTTGTGCCGTGTGGACGACTGGTCCGGCGAGGGCGTCCGCGAGCGCGGCATGGCGTTGTGCACAGGCGACCGCGGCCCCATTGGCGCATGTGGTGGCGGCGCGAGCGACTGGATAGAACCCTGTGCTGCGAGAGGTAGCGTGTGGGGGGGTGCGTGATTCGTCGATGCATGTGTGGGTATAGGAGGTAGAGGATGTGAGTGTGAATGTGAATTTGGCTGCGGGACGGGTGTGACGACGAAAGATGGAGTAGGGGAATAGGAAGGTGACGATGGCGACGGGGAACGGGAGGAAGAGGCAGCGGCAAGGTTTGCGTGACTTGCGTCCCCAAGCGAACGGTTTAGATCCTCGTACCGGAGCTGCTGTACGAGCAGGGAGCGTTAGCGCACGCGACACACATGCCAAACAAAAACACCAACATTCCGGTCCATCCTTGTCTCCTTCCGACTCCTCTCCTCAGCCTCGCGCTCCATGCCCACCCGCTCGAGGTCGTCGTACTGCCGCAGCGCCTCCATGAGGTCCTCGTTCGCCGCCAGCAACGCCGCCAGGAGCTGCTCCTCCTGCGTGAGCTGGCCGTCCTCCGACGTCGTGCGCGAGATCTGCGAGTCCGTGCGCGTGCGGTTCGACTCCATCGACGGCCGCACCGGCCCCCGCTGCTCGCCGTTGCGGTGCGCGTCCTGCCGCGAGCGCTCCGCACCTGTGAACGCCCAGGGGATCTGCGCGGAGATGAGCTCCTGCGACGCGCGACAGCGCGCGTAGAACTCCTAACCGACTGTCAGCGCGCGGCGGGCACAGCGGGGCACGGTGCGTACCCGGATGATCTCCTTCTGCCTGAGGTCCTCGGGCTTGGCGAAGGCGAGCGACTCGGAGAGCAGGGCGGCGTTCCCCTTGCCGACCTTGCACTCCTGGAAGAGGCGGCGCATGTCCTCTTCGAGTGGTATCACGCGATGGCGCGACGACGTTTTGGATTTATGCGGCAATGCCTGCGGCGTCTGAGTTGCATGCGCGCTGACGAAAAGGAAACACTCACGGGCCGTTGCGATGGTGTGTGCGGCTGCTCTGCTGCCGCTTGCGCGTTGAGGGGTGGTGGATACCGTGGGGTGGGAGGATAGAACATGGCGTCGCCGGTATCGAATGGCACTCCCTGCAATGTCGGACGTCAGACTGTACAATTCCGGAAGAGGGTACAGCACTACCTCGTCTGGCTTGTCCGTGGGCTTGACTTTGCGCCAACACGTACGGAACGCCTCTTCCTTGGTACCTGCGCGAGAGATCAGGACCCAGATCGACGGAGAGGCGCGTGTGCGCTTGTGGCGCAGAAGTGATCTACTGACCCTCCTTGCTCGCATACGCAGCCGCAGCAAGCACTTCCAATAACCGCTCACGGACCACTGGCGATGTCCGAGACGACTGGACGACGCCCTCGAGGGTATCGAGGAACTTGCGGGACGCGCACTGCGTGATGAAGAGTTCGGAGCAGTTGCGGAGCATGATGGCCCATAGCTGCAAGTGCGGCCGTGAGGGCGGGCACACATGAGGGCGGGCAGAAGGCACGTACTCGTGCAGCAGACAGCTGGGCAGATGGCTCGGCGTATCTGCATACGGCACGACGTCAGAGAGAGAAATATATGGAGAAACGCCGCGCCGCACTTGAACTCTCTGCGCAGGGCCTTTGCGGCCTCCTTTGCGTTGGCCTCGGTGGACGATGCGCGCTCGCAGACCTCGAGAACGAGCGACCAGTCCTCGGACGCTGTGGCGGTGAGCCAGCCTGGTGGGCAGGGCTGCCTGATTAGGATGCACGGGTAGAGCGAGGACGGGGACGAACCGATCATCCTGGTGAGGTCTGCATGGTGGGACTCGTCCTCTCTGCGATCTCGTTCGCGGGCACGCTCCCTGTCTCTCTCCTTTTCGCGCTCCTTGTCCTTGTCCTTTTCCTTGTCTCTATCTCTATCTCTGTCCCGCACGCCCGCACGCTCCCAAAAGCCGCGCTTCTCCTTCTTCTCCTCGCGAAAGGACGCCTCGGTCATGCTGTCTTCAGAGTGGTCTGGCGCGTGGGGCAGGTCGACGGTGGGATCCAAGGACCTGAGGATGCCTACTGCAGCGAACGCGTTGGGCGCGGCGGGCGTCTTTCTGCGCAGCATGCCGTGGCCGCGATCGGGGTGTGTTTTGGAAGGAGGCTGTGGAGAGAGAGGGGCAGTGCCGAGATGGAGGGCGCGGGGGGTGGAGGGCGGCGAGGAGGAGGGCAGGAGGGGCGAGCCTGATGTGGTGGATCGGACGGCGTAGGACTGGGCGTCGCTGTCGACGATGCTCCAGTGTTCGTCAGACTGGACGGGGGTGCCCGACCTGGATCGGTCATGGCTCTGTACGGCTAGGAAATGAGCCTACCACACATCCATCAGTCCAGCGTGTCTCGGTCGCAGCTCCCAGCGCACCTCCATGGGAAGGCCGCTGCCAATGTCGGACGGCGCGATCTTGCCCTTGCCCTTGTCACGGCCAAACAGTTTCTTCATCCCGCCGCGATTGGGTTGTGAGAAGGTAGATGCAGGAACAGGCTGCGGCGCCGTTACAGTCGCAAGGGCTGTGTCGCCCTCTGCACGTGTGCTAGGCGCCCTGTATGTAGTGCGTACGCGAATTCGAATGCAGCATCTCGCGCCTCCCATGCATCACCCTACCAAACGCGAAATTGGCCAGGTGTGTCCCCGCGACGGCCGCGTATCCTTGCCCCTCCTGATCCCAACACAGCACTTTGTCTTTGGCTTCCACGGCCATCATGTCAGCGACGACATCCGCACCCTCATCTGCGACTACTACTTGGGGTGCGTAGATCCCGTCACCCCCATCAGATCGTCGCTTACCGCCCCCAGGAATGTCATCCTCATGAAGCGCAATGTCCAAAGTGTGTCAGCTGCATGTTCGTCCTCGCCGCGATGATACGATGGCCGCGCAGGCATCGCCCAGGTCCAAGCACTCGTCACGGACCTGCAGCGTCTCGCCAAGGAAGCAGGCCATGAGCGACCCCTCATGATTGGTATCGATCAGGAGAACGGTGCGCCTGCCAGCCACCACGCTCAGTCACGCCTGTATCTCAGCCAAACGTAGGCCTGGTCTCAGCCTTTAGCTCTACAGCACACGCGGATGCTGGTACGCAATTGTAAGTCCATTTAACACTGCATCTGGTTGTCACTTCCTCGCACTGGGGTATCTAGCCCTGTTCATGCAACGATGTCTGCACGCTTACACCTCTCACGCGACTATTGCCCATCTTCATCGCTCTCAGACTCGCTCTATGCACGCGATGCAACATTACGCTCATTAAGTTGTATCAATGCTGATCATATTCATTCATGTCATACTCAGCCCGGGAGCAATGGCCCTGGCTGCCACCGGTTCTGTCCAGCTGGCTGAGCAGGTGTCGGCTGCATCTGGCGCGGAAATGCGCTTGGCAGGCATCAATTGGGCGTAGGTCCTTCCATAATGCGCTCTCTATTGCCGGGCTGAGCCGCATCTACAGCTATAGCCCAGTCGCGGACGTCAACAATGATCCTCGCAATCCTGTCATAGGTCAGTTTCTTATATCAAAACGTGTTTTTTACGGATTCTCTGGAAAGTCCAGAGCTACAGGGCCGCGTAGTCATTATGTTGCGCAGCACCAGAAGCCACCTATTACGGGATGGACAATGAATACTGTCATGTCCCCGCAGACGGTGGAAGTCCATCGAGACCTCTGGTTGATGCAGGAAACTCATCAGGTCTTACGCGGAGTGGCCTGTAAACACGGCGTGTCGGCGCGATGTTTCCTATCGCGTGACCTTCTGTCTGCAGCATAGTATCGGGCAGCCTACGAGGCATGGCACGATCAACCACATTTCCGACATTCTGCATTCCGCTTGTTGCAGCAGAGATATGACTGACTACAACTTTACAAGGGGTGCGATCTTTCGGCGACGGTAGGGATCATTGTTATGGCACGGATGTATGATCCTCATGCGGTGGACCCTCATAGATCCACAGGACGTGTCCCGCTATGTGCAAGCCGTCAGTCGTGGCTTGACCTCCGTGGGCATCGCGCCCTCTGCGAAGCACTTCCCCGGACACGGTAACACCCACACTGACTCGCATCTCAGCCTGCCCGTCATCGAGGCCACGCGCGAGTCCCTCGACGCAACCGAGCTCCCGCCCTTCAAGGCCCTCATCGACAGCGGCGTCGCGAGCATCATGACCGGGCACATGGCGCTCCCCCTCATCACCGGGGACGCCACGCCCGCGTCGCTCTCGCGCGCCGTCACCACGGACCTCCTGCGCGACGCGCTCGGCTTCCGCGGCGTCATCGTGACCGACTGCCTCGAGATGGACGCCGTCGCGGCGACCGCGGGCGTCGCGCCCGGCGCGGTGAGCGCGCTGCAGGCCGGCGCGGACGTCGTGATGATCTGCCACCGCTTCGACCGGCACCTCGCCGCCCTGAACGCGACGTACGACGCCGTGCGCGCCGGCGTGCTGCCCGCCGCCGCGCTCGCGGAGAGCGGGCGGCGCATCGCGGCGATGAAGGACGCGTTCACGGGCGGGTGGGACGCGGTGCTCGGCGCGAAGCTGGACGCGGGCCAGGTGCGGCGTCTCAAGGCGGACAACGCGCTGCTGAGCACGCAGGCGTACGCGCGGACGGTTGCTCCGCTGCGGTCGCTGCGGCCTGGTGCGCTCCCGCTGGCGAAGGCGGGGTATGCCGTCCTGTTCACGCCGCGCGTGCAGAGCATTAACCCCGCGGTGGACGACAACGAGGGTGCGCTGCGGGATGCCGCGGGCCGGCTGCGCAACACCGCGGGGCCGTCGTATGAGGCGCTGTCCAAGAGTCTCGCGGCGCATGTGCCGGTGCACCACATTGTGTACGCGCAGGGGGACACCGTCGTGCCGGGCGACCAGGAGAAGATCCGCGGAGCAAGCTCGCTGGTGTTCGCGGTGCGGAATGCGTTCGAGGCAGGCGCGTGGCAGATAGACTACCTCCGGGCGGTCGTACAGGACGGGGTCGTAGCGCCGGAGAAGCTGGTGCTGGTGACCACCTGCGCGCCGTATGACCTGATGAACCTGGACATGAGTGAGGTGAAGGATGTGCCGTGTCTCGCCACGTTCGAGTTCACCGTGCCCGCCATGGCAGCTCTTGCGGATGTCTTGTTCGGAGTGTCGGAGGTGAAGGGGACTCTTCCTGTCGGAAAGGCATGAAGCAGGAGGGCTACAATGACGATCGAGTATTTCGCAAATGTATTCATTGATACCATAAGCATCCTATAGGCTCTGGTCGGAAGTCAAATTCATGATGGAAGATGCCGAGTGCCAGACACTATTCGGCTGTCACGTGCTTCTCCCAGCATATAGCGCGTTGTGTCCGCGAGGTCCTCTCCCCTATCCCTCAACCTCCATCAACTCACCTTTCTGCAGGTCCCAACGATGTCGGCACCTTTTGAGGATGATATTTATGACGGTCTGTTGCACATACAACTTAGCGTGTCCTTGGCTGACACCTTTCCCGCAGATCTCTACGGTGACAGTGCCGATACGAAGGATGCTGTATCCCAAGAGCCCTCGCCGATAGAGGAACGGGCAGAAAGTGCAACGGCACCGCCCGCAGCGCAAGAAAAGCCTCAGGCGACTGGAGAAAGCTCACTGCCCGCGAAGCCTACTACTGCAGGCGAGCTATCGTACTCGGCGCAGATAGCGCAGCAATTTTCGGCGTACAAGCAGACTCCCGCTCAGGAGCGACAACAGCGCCCTGCATTGCACGACGATACTGACGCGGTAGATGTCTCGCCGCATGACCCAAGTTTAGGGCGTCGACCGGTCAGGCCGTCGGAGATGAAGGACGAAGGGTGAGTCAGACTTTCTCTAAGTGTCGGTCATGGAACACTGCCGGGTATAATGGGCCTTGCATGCGCCCAAAGCCCACGTCGCGATGATCATCATGCTAGAATCGCTACATTGCTGTGGACCTACGCCGTACTGTTGATGCCACGTCGCTACTGTATGCACCGTACGTCGTGTACCTCGGTCCTCTCGCATCCTGGCTACTACAATCTCTCGTCTCACCGCATGTCTATTTGGCCGTCTCTACCTCTACGGGCACTAATCTTGTTTTACGTCCATCTCTGGTACACCTCTGGTACACCTCGACATATCACCATACGTGTGTTCGCTACAATTACGGCTTTAAATGCTATAACCGCCAATTTCGTCAACCTCTCTCGGGTGCTCGTCATGACTCCCCAGCAAACTCTTCGTCGGCGGTCTCAGCTGGGACACCACAGATGGTATATGTTCTTTGTGAGGCTGACATGCCATAAATACTGATCACTTTCCGTCTCGTCTGAGCAGAAGGTTTGCGAAAGTACTTCTCAGAATTCGGCGAGGTCGAGGATTGTACTATCCTCCGCGATCACGACGGGAGGTCTCGTGGCTTTGCCTTCCTGACATTCAAGGATCCGTCATCTGTAAATGCCGTCATGTGCCGAGAACATGTACTCGATGGCAAATCTGTACGCGTGCCTCCGTCTGTCTCATCAGCGCATACTTACATTCGTGGTACGGGGCAGATTGACCCCAAACGGGCAATTCCTCGAGAGGAGCATCTCCGCAACACGCGCTACTTCGTAGGAGGTTTGTCGCATGCGACGACGTCGGAGACCATGCGAGCATTCTTCTCCACATTCGGCAAAGTGGTAGATTGCACGGTTATGGTTGACAGAGAGTCGGGCCGATCGAAGGGTTTCGGTTTCGTGACGTTCGAAGATGCCAGCAACACGGACCAGCTTGTTGGCCGTGCTGACCTCGTACTCGACGACAAACAAGTAAGCGTTATACACAACTTGTCCCTCGCTCAGGTCTGATCCAATGAATTTCACGTATCGTCTTTCAGATTGAAGTGAAGGTCGCGCAGCCTCGTAACCAGCGAGATCAAGCACGGACTGGCAGAACTGGCCAAGAGGGGTCTTATGAGACAGTGCCGTCACCCGGCATGAGCTTCGCTGCCCCTCCGCAGCCCACCATGAATCCTCAAATGTCAATGATGTACCAGCGCATGATGAACCAGATGCCCATGATGGGCGGCATGTCCTCCATGGGCATGAACCCGATGGGAATGGGAATGGGAATGGGCATGGGCATGGGCATGGGCATAGGCGGTGGCTTTAATGGCGGTGCCAGCGGTATGTCTAATGCAGCGATGCCTATGGGCACTGCGAGCCCACCGATGAACGACTTCTCTGGTATGGGTGCGAATATGGGTGGCGGTATGGGCGGAGGTATGCCCGGCGGCATGGCAGCGATGGGTCGAGGCATGGGTGGTATGGGCGGCGGCATGATGGGCGGGAACATGCGCATGGGTATGGGCCCGATGGCGATGAATCCGAACATGAACATGATGCGCCCATTCATGAACAACGCGGGTGGCATGATGCGGGCGGGCATGGGTGTGGGAGGGATGGCACCGATGATGCGAGGGCGAGGAGGCCCAATGGTCAGCGCGGCGGGTGTAGGCCCTATGAGAAATGCAGGTCGGGGACATCACGGATACCATCCCTATGCACGTTAACATACTGATACATTCCTTGTATTTATTATATCTAACACATCTCCTAACGGCGTGGTATCGTAGAGTGCGATAATACAGTACGGGTGCTCGTAGTTAGCTACACGGTATCTATTTGACACTAGAATGACCTGAGAGATATCTGTGGTTTCGGAGCCTCTGACGTAAGAGCTTTGTTGCCTAAAGCCTGTCTCACAGAGCTCTCCAGGGACTCTCTCATCTGAGGGTCCAACTTGCTCGTTGCTTCTTTGAAGGCCGTAGGTGAAGATGCAGCGAATGATAGCAATTGTGCGACACTTTGCGCATGGAAGGCGGAAGGAGGGGTTCGACCAGGGTCCAGAAGCAGGATCATAGGAGGCATCAAGACCCCCAAGGCACGAGGACCTGTGTACATACATGAGTACCCATTCAAGCAAGCGTCACAGAGATACGTACGTAGATCCTCTGCTAGCGATCCGAACAAAACCGAAAATGCCTTGTATATCTCACCCACGGTGGTCAGATGCTTCTCTGGTAGCTCATCGACGCAAGCTGCGATTTTGGCGAGGCATTCTACCATTCCTGGTAACAGCAATCTGGAACATTGGCGCAGAACCGCATTCCCGGCCGTTGAGGCGAGAATCAGTGTCTTGGCACAATGAGCAGCACTCAAGGAGATCTGCGGCGTGGTCTCATAAGCATGATTCAGAGCTGCACATTTGATAATGTCTCACCTCGTCAGCATCAACCAGTTTCTGAGCAATCAAGAAGCACAATCGCTCAATAACGGCGCGTGAGATTGCGGTCCCAGATGGGACCACAGTTAAGACAAGAACCGCCGCCAACAAGTTCGTCTTCACCTTTCTCGTAGAAATCGCGCCTTGACGTCCTCTGACAGGCAATTACTGTGAGATCACACCTTTAGAACGTGAACAGCACTCACCTCATCTCATCTACGTTGATAAGACATGCAGACAGAAGGCCGTGGACCACTTTCTCAAATTGTGCAACGTCACTTGATTCCGCTGGTCGTTCGAGCATATTCTTCAAAGACTGCAGAGTTGGCCCTACGAGATCGGCATCGAAGGTTTCATCTTTCAGAAGTTCTGCACTAGAAGTGAGGAGAATGTCCGAGACTACTGCGACAACTCTTACCGCTGTACAGAGTAACACCCACTGCTCTAAATTGCTCTCTGTGACCAGGGCCAAACGTTTGTGCGATCGCGGAAAATGCGTCAAAGGCTGCGTTTATGAGCTTGACCTTCTCGACGAGGGTAGAGCCGTCATCTAAGACGAATTAATATGCCGTGTTTGCAGAGGATATTCAAAATCACTCACGGATAGCACCATTTCGCGGGCCAGTGATCGACCGCTTCAGAATATAAGCGCAGATCCTAAGGCAATGCACCTGTGGTAAGCCCATCAACTCTTCTCGCGATAGTGAGCTAGCCCTGTGAGTCATATAAGCTCATTGATCACCTTAATCTTTAAGTCCGACGCACGTCTTATTCGCAGATCGCTTTGATGCAAGACTGTGTGCCAAGCTTGCTACCGTTTCCACCAAGTATACCTGCACTACCGCTGGTTCTGTTAAAGCCATCCGATAGAACAAGCTGACAAGTTCTTCAAACAGGACCGCATCATTGAATACGGCGCCACAATACTTCTCTTGAACAAGACATCTCAACGCTTGCAGAGCGGTTATTGAGATTCGTTGTGACGCCACGTTTGAGTCAGGAGTGGCAGTAGAAAGGGCCTCGAAAACTAGACCAAATAGTGCGAAGAAAAACGCCGTTGGTTCCTCGCGGGTGGTCATCACTTCTGCCGCATCCTGTTCTGATACGACGCCCTCTCGTCCATCCATGGCTGCAAGGACATACGGATCGCCAGTATTCATGGCGGTCGCAATCGCATGTAGAATAACAGACCATGACTCCACGTAATACTAATAGATCGGCAGTAAATCAAGAGTACACCATGCGAGCAGAACCCAAAGACTTACGGGAAGCAGAACTTCTCTCCCCAGACTGGAGTAGGATGAGTCTAACGTACCCGCTGGTGAATCGTCGATGACTTCGGCATCAGCACGAATGCTAGCGTAGTCACGCAATGCAGCAATCCACAACGGAGCAAGAGTCGTTCGATATGGTTTGACGACGTTCACCAAATATGTTTGCACGTTGGAAGCTACTTGAAGTTCCGCCCATGCAGACAGAGTAGCAATCCGTAACATGACCGATGCGTTTGGACTAAGCTCCGCCGCGTCGCCAAGTGTCAGCATGCCAGACTCTGTCAGGTTGTGAGCTCATAACAATGTGCCTGACTGAAGGCTATAATCACCTTTAGATTGTTCCAGTGCGGAAGTCAGCAACTTAAGAATACGGCCCATCCTCTGAACATCCGTCACCACACCGCAGCCGACGAATACCGCACATGCACCAATTGCAGCCGCTAAAATCTCGGGCGTGGAATCGGAAGAGAACGCTGGTGTCAAGGCTGCAGTAATTGGGGCTTGGTGTTGCTCCAAGAGTAAGGAATCTTCATAATCCGGATCTGGCGACTTGGCGAAGATCTTACGCAAGATTTAGTGTCGGATCCGGAAAGCAACAGCCGCTCAACTCACCTCAATGACATCTCGGAGGACTTTCAGACCCTCGAGGCGGATTTCCGTAACATGTGCTGCTGACGCAGTAAATGCGATCTTAATGAGATCGGGTACTCTAGACACGAGTAGACCGCGGATAGGAAGGCCCTGACTGCGAGCGAAAGCCATGTCTAGATGCTCCCTTCTTCCAGACTGACCAACAACGGTGCATATAGTATGCAGGCATTGCAGAGCAAATAGCTGTGTTCTCCACCGAGAGGTCTGTCGCCCACTACCCGCTGACAAGTCTTGGGTAACACCTGTGCTCAATGATTGGCCCTCGTCATCAAGAAGATCCCCCCGTTTTGTCGCCGCATCTGTAGCTTGTTGTGATGCAGTCGTCCGCGACATGATGCGTTGGCATAGGTCGATCCAAGCCGATGGATTATGTATTACAGTCTGCTGGAGCCAACTGAGGATTACATTCCTCACACCATCAACGGAGGAATCGTCATCGAGCATTGCGAAGAGTTCTTCAACCAGTTGATCGCCTCCCAATCTTGACATAGCCAGAGCATCTTTCTGAACAAGTTGATAGAGGGCATTGATGGAGGCCAATTTGAGCGGTCGCCGCGACGAAGAAAGATACCCTCTGAAACGTGTCACAAGCTCTGGTACCTGTACAAAGTTGGGAGCAAACATGAGGAAATGTTGAATGCAATTGATGGCCTCGACACAAATTCCATCATCGTTCTCGCTGATGAATCGATGAACGAGATCCAAAACCAAGGTGCGCTCCCGAGCAGAGTCTTGAATGTCTGGTCCGAGGACTGTTATGACAGCATCAATATTTTGGCAGACCGCCTGGTAGGCAGGTAGATCTCCGCTGAGGTTTGCGTGGTGAAGCGCACCACCTTCAGGCTCGTGCGATTCCATCATGTAGACTTTGAAAAGGAGGCCTAGGGTACTCGGCACAAAAGGTGCATATGCCAGACTAGCTGCGTCGATTACGCGGCATAGAGCCGACAATGACCAATAGTGCACCACAGGGTGTGGATCGTTGACGAGCGACATCAAAACGTGAACCGTCGTCTTTAGCAATGGACCAGCGGCAAGACCACCGACGTGAGCATGGATCTCGCCGAACGCGAGAGCACATCCTGCGCGACCGTTTGGATCACGATTGCTGACGACTTGATCTACCAATGTTTTTGCTTGATTTGTCAAGAAATTGGTACCAGCTATGCTTGCCAGGCGGCCGATCGCTTCGCTGCTTCCCTTGCGTAACAGCAAATCGCCGTCGACGAGTACATCCTGTAATACTCATGAAGACTGTCCATTTTCGCAGCAAATCGGTCGCACCTTCAGGAAGCTAGAGATCGTGGAGGTCACCTGGGGACTTCCGAATATCTGTCGAGAACGAGGCGTCGAGACCTGGCGCAGTGCCAATACAAGAGCAATAGTCGCATTCACATACACGGCGGCTTTGCGACCAGCATTCTTTTCCAACTTCGAGGAGGTGGTATACTCGATCAACTGGGAGAGGGTACGGGTAGCTACGGAAATATCCTGCACGGGCAGTAGCTGCGCGAAAAGTTCAATAGCTGCATTTACCGAGGCAGTGGCTGGTGGCGGTGGTTCTGGCCACTGATTGCCAGCGTCGGGCGCACTTCTTTGGCAAAGGAATAGAGGATCATGAGAGCAAGATCGGATAATGGGCTTCTGACACTTAGAATTGCACAATCAAGTCAGTCAGTTCCTTTAGAAAGTACATAGGGTGTGCCACCTCACCATCTGTTCTATTGAGATCTCCACGCTATCACGGTTGATCCATGCCTCGGGGCTCTCGTCTATCTCAATACTTGATAAGCCGTACGCATAGCCATCCACGCTCTGCCAGATGGATGTGAAGGCGCCGGTGGAAGACGCGATGGCTGCCTGTACAGAAGAACCCGCATAGCCGTCAGGACTGGCTAGCAGGAAGATGGCAGACTGTAGCAAAGCTAGTTGCGTCGAGTCCGTGACACCTGTATGGGGCAGCAGAGAGAAACATGAGAATATCCGCGACCGCAGAAGAGCCGCACGGCCTTCCATCGACAGCTCCTTGATCTCAGTAGGCTGCTGCTCCGGAGTTTCCTCCACGCGACGTGACTGGAAGGAATTCGCGAACTGCAATGAGTTGCCAAGTAGAGACGCAATGCGGCGTGTCACGTCGGGCGAAACCAGAGTCGGAGAGTTATATTTCAGGAAACAGTACACAGCCCCAAGCGCAGACTCGCGCAGGTGGAGCAGGAACATCCACTCCATGGGCGTCCTGCCTGTCGACGCATCCTTAGTCGTCGGCTTCGGTAGCGCATTCCGCCACAGAACAAGCAACTGCGGCAGGTGCGCTCGCACAAAGTTCGGTCCAAGTGTCATGAGCGATGCGATCGACGTCCACGCGATCTCGACTTCGATACATGCAATTTTCACTTCATGCTCGCCAGCACGCTTGAGTAGCTGCACGGCCATGTCGAACACCTTCGCGCTGATATCGTATGACACATACAATGGGCGGTCGGGGATGACTGCCAGCAACGCTGCGACGCCGTAAGCATGCCCGAGGGCGCGGGTGTTGATGTCCGACGGGGCGGCCGGCGTGGTTAGAGTCGTGATATCGCGCTGCAGCATTTCTACAACACTTAGTAGGACTTTGGGTAGGCGGAGAGGTGTGGAATAGCAGAAGCATCGCAAAGCCCATGCAGCGTTGACACGAATGGTATGGCTTGGATGTGACAAGAGCGTCTGTAGTGGCTCCACGAGCGCGTCCTGTACCAAGTAAGAATATTGATCTCGCTGTGATGAATTGGGTATATGCAAACCTGCACCGGAGGCGGGGCGTTCCCCAGTTGCTGAAGTAACCCAGCCACTTCGCGTAGAGCGATGACCAGACATAACGGATTCGGCGCGACTTGCCCTGGCATCATCGCAGGCCATCGCTTGAGGTATGCATTCGACAACTCCTGTATCGCAGTAATCTGCGCCTGCTCTCCCAGCATGCGCACACCCACAAGATCGCGGAGGATGACCTCCACAAGCGACCGCACTAGCAGTCTCTCATAGCGTGTAGTCGAGTTGCGCGAGTTCGCGACAATCTCATTCATAAAGTGGCTCACGATGATCCCGTAGTTGCTCTCCACCCACTCGGGGCCGAGCCCAGCCAGTAGCGCGGCATAAAAGTCGAAGATCCCAACGCGCGTTCTGCGTGATGTCTGCGGCTTGTTGAAGTGTGCCGAGAGCTGGCCGAGCATCTCCTGCGGCGTCATAATTGGCTTCGCCTCCTCCGTCGCGACATGCAAGCCGGGCGCGTCGTCTTCGTCCTCTTCCTTTGCGTTCTGCCCCTTCTTAAGCTTCTTGGACGTGTCGGCGACGGGGATCATGCGCTCAACCTGCGTGGACGAGAGAATGTGCGCGACGAGCTTTGCTAGTGAGCGGCGTGTAAGTTGGTCAGCGCCCTCCAGGCCCTTGATGCAGAGGGCGATAAGGGAATCGACGTCAGAAACAAGCCTGTTACCGTCATCTGATGCATACATCAAAATTAGGACCTGTAGGACATGAGATATCAGAAATAAGTCATGATTCTGGGCGCGACGTACGTTGCACGCTGCCCGTTGTACAGGAAGGGCCTTGTCGCTAAGTGCGTATCTCATTTGTTTGATGATATCTTTCGACAATGCATCTGTGACAGCCCTCTTTGCTGTTGATAAAGACTGCTCGAGCGCAATCAACGCGTTGTACCGCAAGAGAATCGGCTATGAGAAGGAGAGTGTTAGTTGACCACCTGCAGACAGAGTATGTGCGAACATTGGACGACGTTCTGTATAGCTTGAGTGCTGTAGTCGTAGTCTCGACCATTAGAGACATAACCTGTGAAAGAGGAAATTAGCACCCTTCAGAATGCTAGTATATGACGCCGCACCTGGCTTCCAAAAATGCCCATTATCTCGCCAACGCAGTACATGGCGGCGCTGCCAATGCAAATCAGCGTCAGCAACTAATTCAGTACCGAGTAGCTCACATCTTGCTTGACTCTCGGTGAGTGGATTTTGGTTCATTTACAATCTTGAGAAATGCCTGCAGTGTGTCGAACATAGTCTTGGTCTCTCCGCGAGTGTATACTGCAATGAGGCATTGCGCGACAAGAGCACGAACAGGACGCCCTGGAGATGGCCATGTCTCCGGTGCGGTAATGACCTTGACAAATGTAGCCTCGAGCTCGGCTTGCGCCCCCTTGAGGTCGTCCTACAGGACAGCTAAGTTCCGTACGCGCCGCAAGGCATATAAGGTGGCTCACGGTGCTAGCTGCTTTCACCGCCTTCTCCGTAGATGCAAGCCATTGAAACAAGTAGATGTCTCCAGTGTCAACTGTGAGCTTGGACTGGCTTGAAGAGTCAGTAGGCTTGCCCGCTCAGTAGTGGGCGACTCACTTCATCCAAAGGCTCATACAGCGGGGGTGTTTCAGCAGCCATGAGAATGTCCAAGGACAACGCGTATAACGATGGCTTCAAGTCGCTGTCGTCGCCGGCTTCGAGCTCGATCACATAGCATCACATGCACGCGCCTCACTCCTGCGCAGCCACCCATCTACCTTTCCAACTCTTGTGTACGGCCCGACGCCGTCTATCATGCCTTTTACGATTGTATTCTCTAGACAACAGCGCTGATATGTCGGTCCAAGTTTCAGGCTTGGGCGGAGAGGTCCCTCGTCTCGTCATCCCAGACGCAGTGGACAGTTCGGACGCGGTCTCGGATACCAGCGACACGGTCACCCCCGTCTCACAGCACTCGTTGTCCTCGCTCCAGGACTCCAATGAAGCAGTTTCCTTACCAAAGTCCGAGGAGAGTAGAGGGCCCTCAATCAGCATGGGAGCTTCCTCGACCCGCGCGCCGTCAGCAAAGGCACTGCGCCCCGACGACTCTGGCTTGGTGTTCAACAAGTTTATCCTGTACGAGAACAGACTGCGCTTCTACATCGTCGCTTCAAATACGTCCGACTCGCGCCACCGCATTATCAAAATTGACCGCACCTCGCATGATGAGCTCGAGGTCGTCGAGGATGAGGCCGTGTACAGTGGGAAGCAAATGAGTTCCATGCTCAAGATGCTCGAGGACGGAAACAGAGGCTGCGGGGGCCTTGGGAAGGCTAGAGTACTCTTCGGCATCGCTGGTGCGCCCTCCGTCGCGCATACAAGTCATGTATGGTACAATTAAACATTCCCAATATACCAGGATTTGTCAAGTTCTCTGCAGGGTGGTACATGGTCGTCATCTCCAAGCGGTCCGTGGTCGCACTCCTCGGGGGACACTACATTTATCACTGTGAGGGCACTGACATCGTGCCTGTGTGCTTCAACCACAAGATCGACAAGCCCGCAGAGGAGCAGCGTCTCATGAGCATCTTCAAGCAGGTCGACATGTCCAAGAACTTCTATTTCAGCTATACGTATGACTTGACATCCACGCTGCAACACAACTTGACGCGGACAGGTCTCCCTCCGGAGCGTCGCTGGATGTTCAACGATAGGTTCGCGTGGAACCACCATATGCTGACCGCGCCATTCAGAGATGGCCGCCCGCCCTCAGTCAAGGCCTACTGGCTGCTGCCACTGATTCATGGGCACGTCGATCAGGCGAGTCAGTACAGGTCTGCACTCATATTTAGAGCTACTGCTGACTCCACTGAACAGAGCTGACCGTTCTCGGACGAGTTGTTTTTATCACACTCATTGCCCGACGGTCAAGGCATCATGCTGGTGCTCGGTATCTCAAGCGTGGTGTAAACGATGAGGTAAATTATCATGTCTTTCTATGGCATGCAAATCTAAGTTCTCTTTAGGGCAACGTCGCGAATGAGGTCGAGACAGAGCAGATCGTCTCAGAGACGTTGACGACTCCGTTCTACTATCCCGCTCCTCGCACCTCAGAGCATGATCCACAGGGCCGACGCCCTAGCCCGAATTTCACCAGCTACGTCCAGGTGAGTCCGGCCGTGATTTGAAACATCGTGGATGAGGGCTGGCTAATCCTATTGTCAAGTACCGCGGCAGCATACCTGTTTACTGGGCCCAGGAAACAAACAGCATGAGCCCGAAGCCGCCTATCGAAAGTACGTTTTACCGCTTCCTCCAGGCAAGCATTGTAATGGACTCTATCTCTCCCAGTCAGCGTCATGGACCCATTCTACACCGCCGCGTCACGGCACTTCGACGACCTCCTCGCGCGGTACGGCGCGCCAATCATGATTCTGAACCTGATCAAGAAGCGCGAGCCCGTCGCCCGCGAGTCCAAGCTCGGTGTGGAGTACACCCAGTGTGTCGAGTATCTCAACCAGTTCCTGCCGCTAGACAAGCGGATGATTTACCGTGCATGGGACATGTCTCGCGCATACAAGGAGTAAGCACGCACGTTCTTGCCGAACCCCATTCCCAGCTATCTGGCTCATCTGATAACATCTGTGCAGGAAGACGCAGGATGTTATTGGGTACCTGGAAGATATTGCGGAGGAATCCATTCAGATGACAGGGTTCTTCCACTCTGGGCCAGAGCCATACTCACATGTGCTGCAGAATGTGGACGAGTAAGCACCTTAGAAGCAGAGCATCGATGCAGACTGATGGCAGTGCAGGATGCGCCTAGACATGTCGTGGCGCGGCACAATGTCCTTGCAGAACGGCATTTGTCGTACGAACTGTGTCGATTGCCTCGACCGAACCAACGCCGCGCAGTTCGTTTTTGGGAAGCGTGCGCTCGGACACCAGCTGTACGCCCTTGGAGTGGTGGACTCGCCGAATCTTGCCTTCGACTCTGACGCGGTGAACATGCTCACCGAAATGTACCATGACCATGGCGACAGTATGTGGCTCGTTGAGATAGCCAGTATCGTCACTAAGGCTTCCCATAGGCCTGGCGCTGCAGTACACGGGTAGTGCTCTCGTAAACCGCGTGGAGACGTACAGACGAATGCCCCACTGGAATAGCCACTCGCGGGATATTATCGAGAACCTGCGGCGTTTTTACGCCAACTCACTCCTAGGCAAGTCGCACGACGCATCATTGGGTTGACAACCTTTTTTACTTACACTCCTGCAGATGCAGACAAGCAGACTGCGATCAACCTATTTCTTGGTATCAATCCCGAACGAACAGCCCGGCCTCCGCAACGCGGCAACTACCAGCGATGGTTCAAAGTGGAGCATCTACAGCCGGCCTACGCTCTCGATGACTGCGACAAGGGTATCAACCAATTCGTCAACACGAGGGGCGATTTCTGGATTGAGTATTATCGACCGCTACTATTCACATCGCTCGGGAAGCACTTCGCATTCTCCATGAACAGTACTCTTAAGCTCCCGGGGTGAGGCGTGATTCGTTACTAGTCGCTAACACAATGTCGACTGACTACAAACTATGCTATAGAAAAACTGCCCGGGACATTAACCACAGCCCCTTCCTGCCTCATCATAACTCAGCGACGCACCATCATCCCAGGTAAGCATGCACCATCGAACAGCTGCTACAACTCTCGTCTAACACACAATCACAGGCTCATGGATGGTGTGCGGAGATGGATGAGGTCGAGCCCCGTGCCCGGTTCCCGAATCTCTCAGATTGATCGTTCGACCAGACCCAAGTCTCGACACCAAGGCACCGTCGTCGAGCTCGACCCCACCTCAACGGAGATGATCGCACAACAATTGATGAATCCTTCGTTGTCTCCGGAAGAGGAGAGCGAATATCAAGAGTAAGTATTGTATTTATATTGCCACGAATACCTCTCACGTTGCGTGGCTGCAGCTATGTTGACCAATACGAAGAATTGCTAGTCACCACGGATGATGGTGTCGCCAGGGATGACTGGGAAAAATACCAGAACGGTGTCTGGCTTGCACAGGGCGAGCTGTCTTGTCTTCAGGAACCGCGTGAAGACACATTTGCAGCGTATGTCTACAACGTCAGCCCGCAGCGACTGGACGGTCATCGCGATCCGCTACCAGTCAAATTTGATTATGAGAAATGGATCAGAGGAGTAGTTTCATCATGATGGACATTAGGTATCGGAACGCAAGCATGATAATGTACACTACAACGTTTTTGCAAGGGCATTCATCATGTAAGAAACACGTGTAGGTTGAGAAGAAATGAGGCATCCAAGAAGGGCAAGAATGATAGAAAAAATGATAGAATGGGCAAAGACCTCCAGGAAGAATCCACGATCGACATGACAAGCTAAAACACAAGATATCCAGAATACATGATCGTAAAAAAAATTAATTCATAAGCGACTCTCCACGAGCATGACATTTCCTCTCCATCCGATGACACCCTTACCAAACGCAGCTTCCAAGACATCTTCAAGGGTACGTACGAACACGAATTCCATCTCGGTGCGAACCTCCAGCGGCACGTCGTGCTCGACGTCCTTCCGGTTCGCCCACGGCAAAATGACTTTAGTCACCTGTGCCCGGTGCGCACCGAGAACCTTTTCCTTGATGCCGCCAACGGGCCCGACTCGCCCGCGAAGTGTGATCTGGGACGTGGAGATCAGCCATTAATGCACATAGGACTCATCAAGAGTCATCACACGTACCTCGCCCGTCATTGCAATATTATTCGGGACACATGCACCAGTGAGTAAAGACACGAAAGCGCATGTCTAAGACGTAAATCAGTTTTCTAACACGTAATACACATCACAGAAGCGTACCATCGCTATGCCTGCTGACGGGCCATCCTTCTTGACCGCTCCCGAAGGTAAGTGCAGGTGGATGTCGACTGGGTCAGGGTTCTTCAGCGGGTCCTGCGAACGCGTTTGTGTGATGTACAGTTCGTACGCATGGCTCTTCACCCAGCTCAGGGCCAGCTCTGCACTCTCCTTGATAACATCACCCAAGCTGCCCGTCAATTTCAGCTTGCCGCTGCCAGGGACAACGCTGGTCTCGACGGGAAGGATGCCGCCCTCGCCCATACCAGTCACGACAAGGCCGTAAACAAGCCCTCGTCTCTCCTCTCGCTCCCGTTCCTCTTCGTCCCATCGTGCAATGCCGAGGATCTGCTCCAGCTCGTGTTCCTCGACCACCTTCTTATAGCCCTCGCCTGCTACATTGTCGATGGGGACAGCAGAATCGAGTTCGGCGCCGATGCTATCGCAATACTCTGCCCATTCCACGGTCTTGTACCTCACGACAGCCCCGATTGCCCGTTCTAGCGAGCGAACGCCGGCTTCCCGTGTGTAGCGTGTCGCAATGTGAAGGAGGGCGGGTTCAGTTAGTGTTAAATGGTCAGCAGTCAACCCGTTCGCCTTGAGCTGTTTGGGGATAAGGAATTTCCGGGCAATGTGTATTTTCTCATCGTACGTGTAGCCTGATAAATACGCAAGTCATGAGCATGGAACAAACTTCATTGCACCTTTCTCGTACCTGACAAATGTACAATCTCACACCGGTCGAGTAAGGGTGCAGCGATAGTATCGAGGGTGTTAGCGGTGCAGATGAAGAGAATCTGACTAAGATCTATCGGGACGTTGATATAATGGTCCTAGCAATATGTCATTCAGCATCAAATCTGAATTTACAACAACGCCACATACTCGGAACGAGTGATTCTGCTCCGGGTCGAGTACCTCAAGTAACGCAGCGGCAGGGTCACCGTGGAAATTACTGCTCGCGATCTTATCCACCTCATCCCTGTCAGGGGCTGGAGAATCAGCTACTGGGAGTCGCGGTGCGCGAAAATACTAACAGAAGAATGACAGGATCTGGCCTGCCCGCCTTACGCAGCGCCTGCACGATATTGCCCGGACCACTGGCGACATACGTTCGCCTATGGCCTCTAATCTCGGCCTCATCACGCACACCGCCCAGCGATATACGTTCAAATGGCCTGTTTAAGGCACGCGCAATGGACTGTCCGAGGGACGTTTTGCCCGTGCCAGGAGGGCCGACGAAGCTTGTAATATATGCACCGTCATCATCGGAACAACAACGGGCAGATATTTGCTTACAGTAAGATAGGACCCTTCACGCCCGTCTTCCTCGTTGCCCGTATGTGAACCTGTGGTTGCTTTGGAATCCCAACAGCCTTCTCTTGCGAATACGAAACAAGCGCTTTCGAGTCATTCTGGGCAGGCAGACCATCTGCCTTTGACGATGGGGCATCAGCAGCGGCCTGCGCGCTTTTATCAGCCTCGACCGCTTGCAGCCGAGTTTCCTTCTCTGCTTGCAGCTCCTTCAGGCGCACGACGGCAAGATACTCAATCAAGCGCTTCTTAATCTTTTCCAGCCCGTAATGGTCGGAGTCGAGCTGCCTCCGAGCCTTGACCAGGAATTCACGATCGTGCAGCGCGACGAGCGGGTTACTCATGGCCGCAGATACAGCGGATGCCGGCCATGGTACTGCCGTAAGCCACTCTAGCTGCATATACGTCCCCGCTATGAGCACGCAACCATCACGACCAAATCGGAATACTAGCACGCACGTAGTTGCGAATCACACCGTGCTCTGCGCTAGCTGCCGGCGTGCGCCCGAGCCGCCGCCACTCACGTACAGCCATCCTGCGCTCCTCACTATCCCGCGCCATTGCCTCAATCTTGGTGCGGATGCCCGCCATGTCGTCCGCCTCCGCCTGCTCGTCGTCGTCGAGCTCGGACGTTACGGTATCCGCAAGCTTTCCGCTCGATGTATCAGTGCCATCGGAGAGTTTACCGCGTGTGATCGCAGACGAGCGCTGAAGGTTGCGGAGCTCGCGCTGAATAGCAGCGAGCTGCTGGCGGAGGAAGAACTCCTTCTGCTGCCGGGAGAGCGACTCGTCGAGGGATTGCGCGACCTTCTTACTCACTTCAGTGATGGACGTCTGTTTGACGAGGATGGCTGTGGCACGTTTGAGTCTGTCGTTGGCCTCAACAGCTGACAGGAAATCTGGCCACCACACAAGTCACATTTATGAGATGCGAAGGATAACGTCGTGCTCACCGAGCTTGTCTGCATAGTCAGCGTCTAGACTGGCAATAAGCACATCTGCCATCCAAGGAGTGCGCTGATTGGACACCTCCTCGACCATGACGGAAAATTTGGTGTATAGATCGCGCCTGGCTTCGCCTGCGGCATCTTTAGTGAGACGACTCAAGAGGGTAGTAGCGGCAGATTTGAAGATCGACGCTGCCTCGGCGGTCGGCACACCCTCATCCGCTGGAAATTGTACAACGTGGTCGACGGGAGCGTTCAGTGTGTTACGCGTTACCTTGTTCCCGAGCAAATGAACGCGTGAAAGACCCTGCAGGGTCAATAAATACGGCCGCAGCCGACTCGAATTCACCAGCCTGGGTGGGCGCACTATCCTGACGATGCGCGCGGCGCATCCCCAGTCGTGCAAGATGACATTTTCGCCAGAAGAAACCGGTACTGCGGCAAGAACGGGTTGTGTCTCGGACTCTTGCACAAGTTGGAGCAGCTCCTCCCCAACTGACATATGGACTGGCATAGTCACCCTGGCCGTGGGCAGGAGTATCCTGGGCGGCGAGAGGTTGAGCACTGGCAACGTTGATGTCGACATGATCTGAGACGGTGTAAGAGCGGAGGAAAGAATGAGATATGGTGGGACCTCGGGAGGCCCTCACCCCTTACCTCCAGACACGTGAATTAGCACCCCCGCATTGCGCGCCCATGGGCACCCACAAATATTACGGAATTTATGCATTCCTTAACTGGGACATCCTTGGGACAGTCATATACATTTAGTTGTGGTCTACACAGATGGAACGGATAGCCATATTTTAGATGAGATATTCGACAACAGAATACATGCATGCGAGGTAATGTTTTCAACTCTGGAAAACCGGATATGTGCGCAACACGACACGAGCGATAGGTTCCCTTCAGGAACAGACATTAGAAAACTGGCGATACGGCGGGATCGGGCTCATTATGAGAAACATATAGAATGCAGCGCCGGACAATTGCAAACAGATGCGGGGGGAATCAATGAATACAGTATGGAAACAGCAACGTGTCGACGGATAACGAGATCATGAGTCCTAAAGACATGGTGGGCCGCGCGGGCGCGCTCTACTGTGCATGCAATTGCGACATAAATGGCGTACCTCCTTCAGAGGACTGACTGAGCATGGGATACGAGATTGTGGAGAGTAATCGAAAACAAGGAAACGAAAAAGAAAAAAGTAATAGTCGCTTTGGCGCTCGCGGCGAGCATTCTAGGCAGTCGCATGCTTCACCATCTGAGATACGAGCAGTCAGTAGACGATACTACTACTAAAACATCTAACTCTCACCTCCCGTGCCCAGCGCATGGTCTTCCTGGTCTCTTGCGGTAAGCGACCTCTTGCTCGTAGCTCTGTCATGATCCATTCTGCGAGAAGGAGCTGTTTGATCTGACCATCAGGGAACGCATCTGCGAGGTCGCCGATAAGACCAATACAGAGCTTGAAGGCGGAGTCGCTCCTCTCGTTGTCCGCAATGACTCGCTGTACGAGCTCAAGTATGCTCTGAACGTACGGCAACAGCAGTGTCACTGATGCAACGACGATACTATGAGCCTTGTCTCAACCACATATTCATCAGGACAACTCACCCTTTTCGGTATTCTTGAGACCCGTGACAACACCCGTGTATGCCTCCAAGATACCCTCCCGTAACTGGCTAACATAGTCAACCATATCAACGTCGAGCTGCAGGCCCAGCGTATGTCAGTACAAGAGACAGAAGACCGAAAGTCGACGCACAGGATTCGGCTGCAGCGACGCAGCTTGGCGCAAAACACCCATGGTCGTGCTGAGATACGGCTCGAACGCCGGGCCGATAGCGAGTGCAATGTCGCCGAAGCACGACAGAACGGAAATCTTCACGTTGCGGTTAAGAACCTCGCTCTGCAGGTTCTCGAGTAGCACACTCATGAATGCGTTCGCGAACTGAGCGCTCTGCTCGCCGAGCGCGCGGGTGATGTCACCAATGATGCCGACGGCCACCATGCAAAGCTGTGTATCCTCATGCGCCTTGAGGGCGGGATACAAGAAGGGCAGGAACGCCTGGATGTAGGGGGAAAACTGTTGCTCAAGTGCTGGAGGTACCTTACGTGAGGATGAGCCGGCTTGGAAGATTGTATGACTTACCAGCCGCGAGTGATCCGACAACAAGGAAGGCATCCTCTAGAATAGTCGACGTCTTACCGGCAGATGCCATGAGCTGGAGAATGAGCGTCATGATACGGTCCGCCATTGGCTGAATACCATCTCCAAGCCGCCGGACGACACTCTGATTTACAGAGACCGATCAGTCATGCATAGTAATACCATATCTGAGACCGACTCACTATAATGACACTGCAGAAATTGCTCTGCAAATCATTCCAGTTGTTGCGATCATCGATGCCGACAATTTGGTTCTATGGCCGATAGATTAGGGTGGGATGGAGGGACCGTCAACCTACCCTAAACGTACCTGCATTCCCAAGAGCTGCTCCATTCGGAGGAGAATGGCGACAACAGTACTTTGTACGACCGGGATGGCATCCAATGTCGCATGGGCGACGAACGAGGTGATCGCCTCGTACGCAGACGTACGGTAGTTGCCTTCGTTACTAGCACTGCGTATACAGAAAATACTCAGCTACCGTCTGGCACAAATAGCAGCGGGTATACTCACGTCTCGGTCACACGGAGAAGAGCCTGGATGATGCCTTCGTTATATGGCGACAACGGACCACCAGCCGCTTGCGCCGGATCATCGCCCTCGGACCAGCCCAACTGATCCGCGAGGTTCATGAGACCCCAGCAGCAGTTGGCGACAATGCGGGGGTTGTCCTGCAAGCCGTTGACGAGCGCAGAAATGAGAGGGTGCAGGTGGACATCTGGCTTGATGGTTGAGACGAGCAGATCGCAGATCCTACCCAATGTCCATGCAACAGTATCCTTCACCTGGGTGTTCGGGTCTGTCATCATGTCGATGAGGATCGGAAGCGCTTGATTGACGAGCGGCGTGAGGACAGTCGGGTCCGGGCCCTCCAGGATAGAGCCAAAAGTCATGACAGCTGCTTCGCGGTGGTGCCAGTCCTGCGCTCTAATGTTAGCCTCAATGAAGGGAATGACTGCCGGCACAATCGTGTCTGCCACCGCCTGCGCGAGCAGGCCAAGGCAGGTACCAGCTGCCATGGAAATGTTCCACTCATCCTCGTCCGCTTCCTCCTCCTGGCGAGTCAAGAGCTGCAGGAGTACAGGGACAATTTCTGGCAGGGCGGTTTTCGCGAAAAACTTGCTATCCGTCTCCGGCTGTTCGCCGTATTCAGAAGCCTGTGAAATTGTCGAATTCAGGGGCGGCGGGGGAAAGCTAGCGTACTGCAATACCTCTTGAGCCTCCCATGCCAACTCCGTTTCAATCTCACACACGGTCGACCAAAACTCGACTGCTTGAAGAGCAATCGTTTCTTCAGAATGCTTCATGCCCATAACGGTCAACTATAGAACCACGTGAGCAGATGTAATGCGCATGCGAATGGCAATGATGAATTACCCCGAACAGTGCACGCTCCATGTAGAAGCCCATCTTGTCGTAGTACAGAGACATGATTCGCACCAAGCACTCAAACGCTCCGACTTGTACGGGAACAGATTGGCATTGTGTAGCTTCGCAAACGACCTGCATGATATAGTTCCGCTCGCCCTGCAGATAAATCAGCATTGAGAGTGCACGCAGAGAGGAGAGTGGTACCTCTCGATCGAAGTTCTCGCGCACAAACTCCAGCGAATTGAGCAGGGCGTGAATAGCCGCCAGCTGCACCTCTGGAGACAGCTCCTCCTTACGAGCACCATGAATGACTGCGGTCAGGATCTCGTTCGAGCGCAGCGCAAGAATCTCAGGTTTCTGGGGACATGCGTTAGGATGGTATCAAATTGGCGATGACGAAAACGCACAATTGACTCGCAGATAAAGCCGATCGCTTGGAGCGTTGCGATTCTCAAATTCGTGTTTTCCTGGTGATTTACGAATTGCAACAGGATGTTGATCACCTCTGACCAGTGCCCTTGAGGCAGCTCGGCCGCAGCGATCGCAGAAACCACCTGCGCTGCAACAGTGCCGACCTTTGCCACTGGCGAGCCCAGTGCCATTAACGTATCCTGCTTGACTTTGGACCTGGTATCGTTGTCTAAAGCCAGCCACCGGCTCGTGTACTCATGCTGCCGCGCGCTTTCCTATCGAGCAGCTCAGTATCGCTCCACGGTTAGATCAGGTTACCATCACTCACTCGCGCCGCCAGGGTGTTCTTCAGTGCTAGACCAGCCGCATTCCTCACGTGTAAAGGCGAATTTTCATTTACTAGCTCGGAACACAGCATAAGCGTATACGCGGGCTGTTCGGAGCAACGGTCATGCCGCTATGAGTACCCCACACCGTTTTGTGAAGAGGTTGATCGCTCACGAAATTCTCCTTTGAGGCATTCTCCAGCTTTTGCGTCGCGTCCTGACGCGTATGTGCGTCTGTACAAGTATTTCGGCGAAGAATAGAGCAGTCAGGGCACGAAACAAGAACCGAGGGGAGGGGGGCGCACCAGGAGATAGGGTATTGGCGAGGAGTTCACTGGCGTTCATGGTTGCAAATCAGAGACAGAGTTGAATCGCGGTTTGCAGACCGAGCACACGAGCCAAGGAAGCTTTTATGATTTGACTGGAAAGACTGAGAGGAAGAGGAAGGGAGGGAGCGTGTGGCGAGTTGGGTTGGGTCAAGGGATGATGGTGAAAGCAGCTGCACGCGCGGCAGTCGGGTTTTCAAAGCCATTTCAAAGCCACAAGTCCTTTCGCAGGACTTCGCTCGCCACAACATAAATACAAGGCACGCTTAATTTTTCTTTCCCTCTGCAGTGCTCATGTAGACCTTGTTGATGCATCTCCACATTGATCTTTTGTTCTCCTGCGTGCGCTATTGTCAACGCCGCGTAGTCTGAGTTCTTCACGCTTGGACTCCCTGCCATCAATCCGCGATATCATTTACTCTCGTCCTCCAGGACGCCACCGCCCTGAAAACAACAACAACCCAGCCTGATCATGGCGGACAGAGTGCGATGTCATGGTCCTCTAGTTAAAAATTAGGTTTGCTAACGAGCACGCAGGGTCGTGGAGTCGGCAGAGGGGCACGCGGTGCCGCGAGAGGGCGAAATTCCCAGTTAGTCTTTCCTCTAGTCTTTGCTAGTTTCACAGGGCTCATGCAACCGTACGTGGGATATGAAGGGCTCAGCCCACGATGGATAAGCCGAAGCGCGAGGCTATCCTCGACCTCTCGAAATACGTAAACGAAAGAATTAGGGTGAAGTTTACTGGTGGTAGAGAAGGCACGTTCTAGGCCGTTTAAGATTGACCTCGCTAATGGTGCCTACAGTCACTGGAATCTTGAAGGGCTACGACCAACTCCTGAACCTCGTGCTTGATGAGGTACAGGAGCAGTTACAAACAGGTACGTTGTTTTGATTCTGAGCCGCTTGCCGAGGAGAGCTGACATGCCGCTTGTAGAGACGGAGTCCCACATTCGTTCGCTTGGCCTGGCCGTTCTGCGAGGACCGACTATCACACTGCTAAGCCCTGTGGATGGATCTGAAGAAATTGCCAACCCTTTCCTTGCTCAAGAGTGATCGACGCCGTTGACTGTTTTTACTGCTTCGCTAAAATGCTCTGGACATGTTTGAGTGACCTCAGAGATCATGCCTGCTATGCCGGTACGCCCCCGCGCCGCTGTCGAATACCATGAGTCTGCGATAGAGTATTAAAATGTACGACGGTTCTGTACCTCTGGGTATTTGTATCATAAAAGGTGTCTGAAACTCTAGAAAGACTTCCACCAAACTGTCTGAACATCTGCATTGTTCCTGTCTTCGACGTGTACATCATCCTCTTTGCCTGGACAAACCCGGGAAAACCCTCTTTTATACTTATGATCTGCTGAAATCTCATTGGCCATTCTGGTACTGTCATGTGGTTCTACCATCATGCAACGCGTCTCGGAGCAGAGTCGCGGCTTGCGTGCTGCCTATTTCTCCAGTTGCGTCGGCGGGGTGGAAACATCTCGTCTGATCTCCTCTTAGACTTTGAACTGGGGAGCTATTGTCGACATTCCCCTCATGCTCAACCAAAGGCGCGTTTATTGCTGGAAAGCGCACAATTCTCTCGCCCTTCAACAGATGAACATCCAGCTAGCCGTTAGGGAGTACGCGCGGAACCAATTGGACGTTGTCATAAGAGAGACAGGTAAACCCTTGTGGACGCATACCACTCTAGAGGATCTGCGGAAAGAGGATCCCTTGGTGCGGCTCGGGCGCAAGGATGCACTCGTCAAGAGATTCCCGGGACTCTTGTCAGGTCCACACGGCGCGTCTTTGCGAGATAATGCATGGTTACCCATCACCGTTATTCGAATGACGTTCTCTCGTTCCGAGCTTGAAACGCCCTATGACACAGACCTAGAGATCTGCACTGTATATTGGCGACATCCCATGCAACTCATCGCCCTCTCCTTCTATAATAACCACATCGACAAAAGCGCCATCATCGAGCATTTTGTGGTTGACGGAGCGTCGACTCCACTTTTCAGCTCTGCGCAGAGCAGCAGTCGAACAGGGGCCAGCTTCATTGCCGCCAGTCAACGTATCTTCCAGGACATTGAAGCATCGACGAAGAATGCAGGGCCAGTTATCAAGTCCTTGAAGACAGGAGTATCATTCAGGGTTGGACACACAATCGGCGAATTGCATTGGCGCCAGAACGAAGGGATGGAACCCCAGGTCCAAGTGAGGGTCAATGACTTGACGCCAGTCAGTCTGACTGCACTGAGAGCATCACCGAGTAATCTCCCTTTCCTCGCTACCCGCTGTTAAAAGCAACTGACGAGAATCTATAGACGGAAACGAAGGTACGCAATCCCTTTCAGCAGATTGGGATACCTTCGGCGAAATTATCGCTCATATGCTGTCATCCAAAGCCAAGCGTACGCGGGAGAAGACAATCATCGACCTGTACGAGCTTCGCGCCAAATTGTCCATGTCCACAAAGCTAGTGGGCAAGTGTACCGAACCATCTCACGAATCCTCGTTTATCACGAGCGACGAGGTTGTCGTGACCGTCGTTGGGCTTCCCAGCACATTGACTCCGGAGTCGGTCTTCTCTGGTGTCTTCGGCTTCATCTTACCGCTTCGGGTTTGGCGCATTTCCGCTGGCGGGCGCCATTGTCCGACCATTCAGTTCTACAAGCCGGCGTTGTCGCCACCTGTCATGGGTAGCGCGGCCGAAAAGCCCGCGTTCTACCACAGATATCTCCTCGTTCCGGATGGCATCATTCTTAACAGGCTAGGTCTAAATTACATAGGCGACCTGCTGATTACGGACGACAAAAGAGCCGTAGTTACCAGTGGGCCCTTGTTCGCTGAGTTCAAGCACTACCTCTCAGCTGCCATGGATAGAACTATTAGGTCCAAATCAGACCTTGCATCAGAAATCGCTCTGGATATCCTGACCGACAATGGCCTTGCTGAGACATCCTTGAGCCGCATCCTTAGCCCACTCGATGAGAATGATTCTGACGCATATCGTACCGTGTTCTGCAAGGCGTTCTTGGTCCTCGATAAAATATCATCGCCAGATACGCCGATATATCCTTTTGCAACGGAGGGTGAGGACTTGATCAAGGAGCTGGGGATGACTGCTATCCAGGTCTCGACTCATATTCGAGCAATCCTAAAAAAATCAGGCGCATTTCCTGACATTCAGACATACGCTACATCATTGCTCCTGCAGGCACCTGTCTGTGGGGATGACATTCCCTACTCTGATTGCTTGCGTAGAGCACTTGCAGATCTCACACAGACAGCTGGTGTCTTGTCGATTCGCCAGTACTGTTTCTCCTATCCGACCATTGTCTGGGATAAGGAGAGCGGGACTTTCGTGTCTGGTATTCCTGCGCACTGTGATGTCCACCCAGATACATCCTGCGCATGTTGGGTCGGCCCCTATCTCCATGACGCTATATCTAGTTGGGAATCAGGAGCATCTCGCAAACCCATTTCTAAAGCAGCATTATTCCGTGTATATTCGCAATATGTCCAGCATATCAAAATGGGGAACATTGCGACGGAGCAAACTACCTCTCGGAGGCTGTCTACCGGTACGTCCTTTATAACCCAGTTTCAAAGAAGCATCTCCATAATAGCAACATGGATAGACTGCACATCAGGCCCACGACTTGCTACGGAGGACAACGGCAGTGATTCACTCGAGTATATTGATCCTGACACTGCTCCATTGCTTGATGAATTTGTCGCTTTCCGTCCTCCTCCACTGTCTACATCCAATTCGACGACTGTGGTGGCTGATGGCTCACATCTGTCGCCTACATTTCTCAGTAATCTCGGACATCAAGGAGGCAATCCAAAAAGTAAGCCATTAATCTAAGATCGACGTTTGTCGTCTGTGCTGTGGTAATAGCAATCGTTGCAGGCCCTCCAATTATTGCTGATGAAAATGATACTTTCGTCGGTATGGATGCACTGCTGCAGGATGTGCGATCTCGCGTCCTGTCCTACGTCCGAGCGAACACTGCAAAAGAGCGCCAAGACACGCATAGAAGAGTCGAAGAGCTCCGTGCCGAGATAACAGACCTTCAGTTGCTCGCCACACAGCACCGCAGCGAGCGTGAAAATCAATTGCAGGTGTTAGAGACGAAGGAGCGCGCGATTATGGAACGCGACTTACTCCTCGACCAGAGGCATGCCGCTCTACAGGAGAAGGATGGGCGCCTTGCACAGCTGAAACAGTCGTTGCGCGCTCTGAGCCGGCGGAACCAGAAATTGGAGGCCGACGTGAAGCATCTGGAAGAGCGCGACCGTGAGCGTACGCGGAAGCTGCAGGAGGAGCTCGCTGGGCTGCAGCAGCGCTTATCGTTCGTTTTCGACAAGCGCGAGGACATGGAGGATGGCGAAGCGGAGGAGCAGGATGAGCCACCGCGTAAAAGGCAGCGTGCTTGATGACTGTACAAGCGATTGCAGCCAGACCCTTTTCCTGCTCGAGGTGAGTAATCTCAATCGAACAGTGTTCAATTGACATGGTGTATGCTAACCGGCATGCAGCTGCATGCGAGCTTACGACGGACGACATCCCGCACGCCGAGAGAACACAATGTTGTGATGCTTTTGTTACATGCTACGCTCTCGAATCCTCACTGGCTTTCGGACCGGACACAGTACATTCTCAACGTTGTCGAGCGCACATTACTAGTACGTACGGCTAACACAAACTACACGCGCCCTGTCCATGATGTGATAAGAGGTGTCCATGTTACTTAAGCGTATGATAGTAAAATACACTACGTGTAAAACAATGATGTAAGACCAAAGAAGATCGAGACCGCCGCCGCTAGCCAAGCTGCTCATTTCAAGCTCGGCGCAACGTAATCCCGCGAAAGGTCTATCTGCCCTTTCAAATGTGTGTTCGTAATGCGCACCTGGCGCTGCCGGGGCGCAGATTTCTTTCCCTTCTTTTTGGTGGGCCCCTTGGGAACGAGGGTCTCAGCAGCAGTAGCTTGCAAACCTTCCGATGCAAGTTGCTTCAGAAGATCCACGTCGTTCGGGACAGTGAGGCCATGCCAGAGATCGTTGAATTCTGCGCCACATGTCAGACAGCAGCTACTGTGGTCAAATAAGAACACGGACCCTTTTCCACCGGCATTCCACCGTTTTCCTCGTCCGCCTTGATCTCATTCCAAAATACCATCCGCATCTGACCGTCCTTGAGCGTCCGAGTGACATACACATCACCTTCCTTCTCGAGCTCTTCGACAGCTTGTGGTGCTTCCTTCCAGCTCTCCTTCAGCGTCCGCACGGAAAGCCCGCCACCTTTCCGTGTTTGACGCTGGATCTCGGTCAAGAGTGCCGCTTTGTTGCGTACGTTGTAGTCGTGCTATCAGTAGGATGGGCAACCGCCAGGACAACTCAAAGTCGAGCGAAACATACACGATATGAATATAGATCTGTCTTTGGGTCATGCACGACACGGTCATGTGCTCTGAACTTCTCAAGAAGGACCTTGTCGGTGTCGAGAGGGGTGCTCGTTATGATTGCCAAGTCCTGCAGTCGCATGGGATTGCCATTTGACTTGAGATGATTCACGGCGTACACGAGCTGGGTGTTGACATTGGTGCCTGTGCCTGTATCTGCAGGTTGCGAATAAACGACATCTGCACCGACAGATCAGCCATGGGCCAACACCAAGGCAGACGGGTCGAGCATATGAGAAAAAGACGTGCTTGCTTTCGGCCGCTTTTTCTTCGACTTTGGCTGCGAATCAGAGGGCTCAGCTGCTGCCTGCGGCGGCTGTAGGGGAGGCGGCTGCGAGTGCCACGATGTGTAGTCTTGTCTGTGCAGTGCATTCGTGAACAATGCAGCATCTCGCGCGAGGCTGGCCATGGAAAACGGAAGAGAGAGCAACTGCCACCACCGCTAGCTGTGGGTGGCTATTTGTGGCTATGTACAGCACGTGACATACGCCCTGAGAGGGGGTCGATTATCTGGAGTTCGGTCGTCGTGCACAAACCACCTCTTGGCCGCAGGATGGCTCAGGGTGAAATGGCCTTTTTCTCCAGGCCTTCTTCATCCGCTGTAAAGATTGTCGCTCCTTCTGCAGAGGAACCCTCTAGCCCCAAACTGTCCAACAAGAAGGGTGCGTAAGCCTGTATACCCCGATTGCGCCTGACTCAGCTTCATCTAGACTCCACTCAACGCCAGTGTAGGAATATCTTGATCTACGGGTGAGTTTCGCTGCTGTAAAGTCTTGTTGTTGGTGTCTGTAGGGCTGCGGGGCTTTCCGCAGGTTGCACATACTTTGGCCCGGCCGGGTCGGCGCGGTAAGGCTAGACAGTGCATCTTCGCGCTCTGAAGCTGTCTGGTTCTTGCCAGTGGAACAGACTGCGCGCTATAGACTCCTGTGGATATACCTACACACCTGGATGAGTACGGGCATGTCTTGCGCTCAGGCGACTTGCTCAGGGCAATCTGAGCTATATCTTTGGGCCGGTATTATATATATCGCTCAGGTATAATCAGTCTTAGCCCCAGTCATCCCGAATTTGATGTGCAGCCTTGATGGGTTGCTTCTGCCTTTCGGGTATATCAGGGTATATTCTCGCTCCTCCTGAGAAGGTCCAGAGTGAGACTGTACGCGCCACGCAGAATCCCCTTTCAAACACTTCTTGGTGCATCATACTACTGCTGACTCATTGTACAATAAGATCGTGTAAATTTCAGGACAGAGGTTGTATTTATTACCACCCTCAGGTATGTCCTTGGACTGAATCAATGTTGTAAGATACTCAATGGCTAGCAGCGTGACGAACCCGCACAAGTGTGAGTGGTTTGACTGCACACGCTTCCTTTACCTCATTGTGTTCAGACCACCCGAGTCGCCTGTCCCGAGTGCAGCGCTTCCGGCTCAGGCGGTTAATGCCCCTGTATTTGTTCCCAAAACATCTATCTCGTCTGAAGGCTCCATAATCACATCGGACTCGACACAGTCACAGCGATCCCGTTCCCTGTACGCGCTTTCGCCGCAACATAAACATTATCCTCTCCGCTAACGTGTCTCCTTCATTGATACAACAGTAGCCCGTCGTCCACCGCACCCTCAGAGTATCTACCTCCTCCTCCGGAGTTAGTCTTCTCGGAGTACCGAGCCTCGCCCGCGGAATTCCAATCGGCACCTTCGGACTACTCGGAATCCCAAGCAACTGACGATCCCTATGGGCACAGACAATCTCAGTCTACGTGGGGAATCGTGGGGGGTTATGACCTAAGCGATGAAGGACCTTATGTGAGCGATATATTTGATTGCTCCATTTCATCATCTCCTCGTTTCCAAATTCTGTCCGACCACGAGTCGTCTGCTTTTCAAGCAGCGTTGCATTATCATGATACACGGACTCCCTCATTAGTGGACTTTAACTCACTTATCACCGTCCAGGGCAACCTCCACCCGTGGTCGAGACCGGCAGCTGCCCAAGGCAAGCTTGATGACCCCTACTATTCCACGGATTATCCTTTCGCTAGACAACCTGTACGTTGCCTCTTCCCGCGTGAGCCAGGTCTCGCTTTGACCTTGGCGCCTCGCAGTTGGAATACCTCATGTACACACGACCTCGTCCAGACAGCCTTAAGCACAGATACTTCATCTCAGATGATGTCCGCGAAGAGCTGCAGAGCCGCTCGGAGACGATTCGGACTGCTCCTGCACCCGGCCTGAATCTCCCCGAGGACATTCAGGGTTACCACACGCTCGTCCCACTCGAGCCCATCGTCGGCGAGCGGCGCAAGTTCGGAAATTGGTATTCGGCGGTGTACCGTGCGACCAATTCCGCTGATGGTGTTGCCTACGCACTACGAAGGATCGAGAGTGCGTGATCTCACGTCGTCTCGCGCCGCTTCCGAGGCTGAGCGTGTCCCGGCCGTGGCGTACGTGCAGACTTTCGCCTGATGCAGCAGGCGGCCTTCTCCAGCATCGAGGCGTGGGCCCGCATCCGACACCCGAGCATCGTTTCTGTGCACGAGGCGTTCACGAGCCGCGCGTTTGGCGACTCTTGTGCGTCGCGTCCACTTTCCTTCTCTCTTGCCCAACCTTGACCCATCGCCAGCACTCGTGGTGGTGTACGACTACCATCCGAACTCGCAGACGCTGTTCGAGGCGCACATCAAGTCGAAGGCGCCTCAATTCCAGAACGGGCGCTTGCAGGCGCAGCACTCGCGCATCGGGGAGCGCACGCTCTGGTCGTACATCGTGCAGATCGCGAACGCGATCAAGGCCGTGCACGACGCAGGCATGGCGGTGCGGATCATCGACGCAACGAAGATTCTTGTCACCAGCGAGAACAGGTGTGACACCTGCATGTCGTGCTGTGAGGGAGAGGGATTGCTAACGGCGTGGCTGCAGGGTCCGCATCAGCTCGTGCGGCGTCATCGACGTGCTCACGTATGAATCGCGTGCGGACATTGCGATGCTGCAACAGGAAGACCTCGTCATGTTCGGAAAGCTTGTCTTCGCGCTGTGCTGCAACAACCTGGCCGCGATGAACAACTTTCCGAAGGCCGTCGAGAACCTTAGCCGGCACTACTCTGCAGACGTCAAGGCCGTCGCGCTTTTCCTCGTCTCGAAGCCTGCGCCCAACAAGGCAAGTGCTGCAGCAAGAACACCGTGCTACTGTTCATTGATCGCCGTCACATAGACCATCGGCCATCTGTTCGAGATGATAGGCAGCAGACTTTTGACCGAGATGAACGAGGTACAAAAGTATGACGCCAGATCTCTCAGACACCTTGTTGTCATTGTTGATCCGCGCTCCCCACAACAGTGCCGTCGACCGCCTGGAGGGCGAGCTCATGTCGGAGCTTGAGAACGGACGCCTTGTTCGCCTGTTGTGCAAGTTCGGCTTCATCAACGAACGCCCGGAGTCAGTGCTTCACTCTTCGCGGAACCTGCTGCGTGTTTTGACGTATTTGCACCCGCATCGGTACCGCTGCACCGCAGGTTTGCACGCGAGCCGCGGTGGTCTGAGACCGGCGACCGGTACATCATCAAGCTGTTCCGGGATTTCGTCTTCCACCAGGTTGACGAGCTGGGTAATCCCGTCGTGAACCTGTCGCATGTCCTCACGTGTCTCAACAAGGTGTGTTCTGCGCCTTCGACCTGACGGACTCTGTGCGCTCATACTTCCCTCCAGCTTGATGCGGGATCGGACGAGCGCATCATGCTCGTGGCGCGGGACGAGCAGAGTTGTCTCGTCGTGAGCTACAAGGACGTCAAAGCATGCATCGACGCGGCGTTCATGTGCGTACTGCACTCGGTCGCGTCTGCGGCGGTACTCACCCTGTTTGTACACAGCGATCTCGCACGGCGGTGAGGAGCAGGCGGCCATTTCTTGCCTAGAAAATCAGTAGAATCTAGAAAAAGACGCAGAAAATATATACAAAAGACTGTTGACTCTCATTCATCTCATGAAGGACCTGACCGCTCGGGTTTTCGAGACGTCGGAGGTACTGTAGTCATGATTGCGAGCGTCTTCTGCCCGCAGAGACGCTTCTATGCTTCCTACCTTCCCGGCGATTGCCGCGTATAATCTAGCAGGTGCTCTTCATCTTTCCCGATCACCGAATGTAGGCACCGCTGTGGCCGCAATAATGGCCGGGAGGGTAAGTACGCTGAAGGCGAAGGTGGCTTTGGAAGCCGTTGCGGGCGAAGGACTGGATAGAGTATTAATAAATGGCTATTTTGGAATTCGGATACCCACAGTCTATCACAGTTCGCCGAGGCAGGTGTCAGCGACACCAGCGTGTCATGCGAAAGATAAGGCTGGGATGAGGGCCAGTCTTCTGACCCCGCGCAATGCATGGTATCCGCATTAGAGGGCAGCATAATCTTGACGTCTGCCGTCCCGTGGCTGGCGATCTTGATCGGTTCTATGACCCAATAATTTGCCGTTCTTGGCGAGCGCCGCACAGGATGCTTCATTCCCTTCCGGACGGTGACCGTCTCGGTCTGCCTGGCCCACAGCGGCGCCGCTGCGACAAGTCAGAGTGCCAGTTATGAGACAAGGGGAACACCCCCGTGTCGCCGCGGTGTTGTTGTTGTTGGGAACAGGCGTCTGACGGTGCCGTGAACTTACCGATGCATTGGGACGGAAGCTGGCCATGGCCACGGGGGTAGCTGCTCGTATGCGGTGGTAGCAACGAGGAGGGACGTGTTCATGTGAGCGCAATGGGCAGCAGCGCTGTGGGTTCAGTACGAGTTGTTTGAGCCAGACTGAAGGCGGGGAAGACCACGTGGGTGTGATCGGTAGCAGAGCTGCCATATATGGCGTCAGAGCGGACGGCGAGCAGCCACGGCCAGAGACCTCCCCCCGTCTCTCGCTTGCCCGCCATCTCCCCTCCCAACGGCCACCACGGCCGTGCTCCTGCCCCGACACAGCCCCCAAATGGCCACCGCGTACGCGCATCCCGCCAGTGCCCTCCAGTCGCCCAGACAGCACTACCTCCAGCCCAACCCCCCGCCCCAGCGCAGGCATGCCTCGCGCCAGAAGTTCGCTCAGGACTTCTCCCAGTGCCTCTACGATTTTGTCATCCAGCTGCTGCCCACCACGGAAGAGCTCGCTGTCAAGGAGGACGTCCGCAAGCTTCTCGAACGCCTCATCCGCACCATCGAGCTCGACAGCCGGCTGTTGTCCTTCGGCAGTACTGCCAATGGCTTCAGCCTTCGCAACTCAGGTGATGTGCTCGCCCCATCTCGCACAGCCCGTGCTCTGACCGTGTATGCGCCACGGCAGATATGGACTTATGCTGTCTGATCGATTCTGAGGAGCGGCTTTCCGCCACCGACCTCGTGAACATGCTGGGAGACTTGCTGGAGCGAGGTGTGTACATCCTGTCATATGCTACTCCTTAGGGACTCCATGCTATGCGTAATGGAGATGCTCTCGCGAACATCCACCTCTGGAGACTTGTCTGATCTATGGACGGCACGGTCGGCGTGAACAATCCATTAAGCGCTCATATTATCTGAAGCGTTTCTTGGCGCTAGACTATCCTTGGGTCGTCGGCATATAGTATCCTGTTACTACGATTTCACACCGAGCGTGGATCCTATGTCATCGTATCCGTGTGCTGATACCTCTCACTGTCAGAGACCAAGTTTCACGTCAAACCGCTCCCACATGCCCGAATACCCATCGTCAAATTGTCGCTCGATCCCGCCCCCGGCCTCCCCTTCGGAATCGCATGTGATATTGGCTTTGAGAATAGGCTCGCTCTAGAGAACACGCGTTTGCTAATGTGCTATGCGATGATCGATCCTGCCCGCGTGCGGACGATGGTTCTGTTTCGTAAGTGTGGCGTACGCCATAGCCCAGAACGCACTTACCACTATTGATTATATGATTTCCAGTCAAAGTATGGAGCAAGCGACGGTACGCCTGATCATACCGTCCTTACGCTGTGCTCAAATACTTCCCAGGAAAATCAACTCCCCCTACAAAGGCACGCTGTCCTCATACGGATACGTACTCCTTGTGATATATTTCCTTGTACATGTCAAGTCGCCTCCCGTTCTTCCCAATCTACAACAAGTGCCGCCTCTGCGGCCTATATCTAAAGTGCGTTCTCTGGCTGATCGGGTTGTGCGGCCGTCTGATGGGTGCATGTATACGCACAGGAAGATACTCATCTCAATGGACACAATATATGGTGACCTACTAACCCATTCGCTTACGCGCGGCGCACATGGCTCATCCTTGTATAGGTTTTTCGATGATATAGAACTCCTACGACAACGATGGAAGTCGTCTAATACTGAAAGCGTCGCCGAGCTGTGTGTGGCAGCCATAATATCTCGCTTTAATCAGGGTTACTGACACGTCCGTGTGTAATGCGCCAGCTTGATTGACTTTTTCAAGTACTATTCGCGCGACTTCAACTACTCAAGCGGCGTCGCGTCCATCAGGGCGGGCCTCCTCAAGAAAGATAGCAAGGGTTGGGTCAGCGAGGTGCCTACCCACTGGCTGTTGTCTTGTTGTGTGCGCAATTAACGGACGATCATAGGCCGAGAAGGGCAGCCCGAGAGAACGCAATCGATTGTGCATTGAGGTATGACTCCCTGTGGTGGTACACCCTTTGACGTAGCCCTTACGTGACGAGCAGGATCCGTTCGAAACTGATTTCAATGTCGCACGATGCGTGACGAGAGATGGCCTGTATACCGTACGTCGTCGACCTCCTTGTCCTGCACCTCCCTCACATCAACATCTAGATCCGGGGCGAATTCATGCGAGCATCCCGAATCCTCTCGAGTCGTCCTGAGCGCGCCATTGTCGCCCTTGCACAGCTTTGTGAAGAACGCAAAGAGGAGGAGCTTCTGCACCCTTCGCCTGCCCGCGGCGCGTTTGTCCCGCCTCGCCTGTCTCCCATTCCGCCACAGGTCCCATATACCGTAAACAGCAGCCCGATGCGCCCCCAGCGCCTCCCCATCGCTGACACCCCCACACCCTCGGAGTTACACGCTCCCGGTCCGTCTTCCCCTGCACCATCGTCTTCCCCTGCTTCAGCCTCCGCTTCTGCGTCGCCCCCGCAGCAACCGGCGCCGTCATTACCGCAGGTCGAAGTACCAAAGCCACTCCCGCTTGACCAGCTCGAGCACATGGCCCCCAAACGCGGAAAGTGGACCAGCCCACCACCACCAGAGGCGCCCGCAGAGGACCACACGTCCTTCGAGAGCCGCCTGGGGCAGGGCCTCGCCCTCGCCACCGAAGCCGGACCCGCGCGCGAACGGGATCACGAGCGCAACTCGCACGGTGCGTCGAACGCGTCGTCGAACGCGAGCGAAGTGCACACGGACGACGACGCACGCTCCGAGCTCGCCGAGTCGGACGACGTGCACTCCGTGCGCTCGTTCACTGAGGAGGGCGCGCTCGACCGGCGGCGCGACAAGGAACGCGAGCGGCAGCGCGACGGCGAGCGCGAGCCGACGGTGACGCTCGAGCGCCAGCAGCTGCGCCAGATGCGCCCGTCCACTTTGGAGCAGGCATACGAGCTCCCTGCGCCGCGCGCTGCCGGCCGCGCTGAGGGCGGGCTCGACGCGCGGATGCTGGCGCGACTGCGCGGGCGGCCAGTGCTGCGACTGGCACAGCAGATGAGCGATATGGGCCTCGGGGCTGGAGAGGATGTGCGCGAGACGTTTGCTCCCTCGGCGCTGGACTCCCCGCGGCGTTCTCTCTCAGGACCTGCCCGCACGTTTTTGCCACATCGTTTCGCGCAGCTGCAGAGCCCGGCTGCGTTCGCGCCGGGGCCTGCATACCCCTCGCCTGCGGACGTGACGACCACAGCGCAGCCGCCACCCTTCACCAATGTCTACTACGAGACGACGCCCGTGAAGGAGCGTCTCTTCCGCATGCTGCAGCCATACGGGGTCCCTGCGCCCGCCATGCCCCCTGTATCTCCTCACCAGGTCTACGATACCCCCGACTACTACCAGACCGCGGGCCCGTCGAGCTCCTCGCCGTCGTCCTCCCCGCGACACATGTTTGCCGCGCCGCCGGCGTCGTCTTCCACACGCCAGGCCAACCCGCGGCAGACCTCCCCACGCCATCTGCCGCCCTCGCTCCGGCGCAGCTCGAAGCTCGCCGAGATGCCTGCATCCCAAGTCCCGTATGATACCAACATGCTCTTGCCGTCTAGCGCGCATGCGCGTCATTCGCACTCGCACACACCCTCGACCGCTACGATTACGTCTGCGACGACACCACGCGCGCATGTCCAGACGTTCGCTTCTACGCAGCACCTCGGCCCGTCGCTATCTCGCTCGCGGTCTCCTCCATATCCGGCCAGCAGTCCGCAGTCGCGGCCGCATTCTCGACAACAGCTCCCGCCGCGCTTGAGCGGAGATCGGGGCTTGCGCCCCGCATCACCCTTCGCATCGATATCATCCGGAAGCGGCTCGCCGCCCATGTCATGCACGAGTTCGCAGTACGCGGCCTCGTGTTCACCACTCTCGACATCGCCGCCGTCGCCGACGAACAGTGACGGGCATCCCAAGCCAACGAGGTTTTACAATATCAATGGAAGTGCGAGGGAGTAATACTACACACTATACAAATGCCTATTGCAGAGAAACCCAGTACTTGTTTGGACTCGAGTCCAACAAGGTGCCATGTACAAAGGGCAGGGACGTAATCAATGCAAGAGTGGGGATGTTTGCAACATCTTGAGATTGCTGTGCACGTAACAGAAGCTAGATGTGAGTGCTTCGATTTCTCATGAGGCCACAAATGGCATTGCTTCGGACAGGAGTCAACTCCTATGAGATGAGGCATTCTGAGGGCTTGAATCAATATATATGTGTGAGTGTGTGTACAGTGAGAAGATGAATCAGATAGTGCCTACAAAAATCCTGCTTACACTGATGTCTAGAAAGCGAAGAAAACTGACAACTGAAGGTAAAAGATTGTTAGCAGGTTTGTGTTTTTCTCTATTATGTTTGTTATACCCATATAATACATATTGCGCACACTGGCCTCATTACTCACCACTATCACAGCTACTTACACCCATTCAAAACACCTCTCGAAGCAGGAATGCAGGCTTCTATTGGAAGAACTCACGAGCATTCCTGGATGCGAGTGGTATACTGCGAGGGCCATTAGCAACTATTTCTCGCGACGGCGTGTCCATGACCTCAGGCTGGACCAAACTCTGAGGTACATCAATGGTGTGCTTCAATCCTGCTTGACCATCACTCCTCTGATAAAGACATCCTTTACAGAGGCTCATACCTCTCTGGAAGAGTTGTTTGCCGAAGACCCAGACCCTTCAGCTGCCAAAATGAAAAACTGGTCGGCAATGTTAGGAGTTCAGCATCAGCAAGTCTACGATTATGTCCTCGAAAGACAAGGAGACGTGCATAATCTCAATATGCAGTACTACGCGGATACAACTATGCTTCCTAGTCAATGCACTGATACTCTCTACGTGCGTAACTTTCAGAAGCCGCTAAAGAAACATCCTGATGGATCTGCCCCAGACTGCCGATGGTATGAGCTATGCTTATCCCACTAGCTATATTTCCTTCTAAGCCACTGGGAACGCCACACAACGCTTGACAGAGCGATGACGTAAGGAAGCAGGTATAGGGAGTCGTCCACCATTTACATAAGTGCGCTGTACCAATACATACAATCTACGACTCTTATCGGAGGTTCTCGTCACCTGCACCGTACTGACTCAGATTCGCATCGCTCAAGTAACCGCAAGACTGAGGATTGTGAATGCGCAGCCATACGAAAACCCTACCATCTCAAACGGCCATCTCATGCACGACGGGTTATCGCCATGATCCACTAGGAAGTCGAGTCAATAACATTAGAACCTTTCGTACACGTACCATCTACACTCGGTATCCAGATCCAAGCACGCTTCCTTTTATGTCCATTTTCTACCATCACAACAAGGACTACCGCGGGCCAGGGCTCCCCGCGCGGCTCACGCGCACACTCCCTGGTGCGCTATCGTCGTAGTCGCTTCCCTCTGCCATCAGCTCCGCGTGGCCCATGCGTGCGAGCTTCTTGTCGAACGCGCGCAAGCGGTACTGCGACACGATGCGCTCGAGCAGCTCCGACGTGCTCACGCCCGGCGTCCGCCGTGTGGGGATGAACTTGCCTGTAAGCCGGAGATTGGCCATCACGAGGCAGCGTGGAAACAGAAATAGGGAGATCAGCGGAAGAGAGAGACATGGCACATGCGGCAAACGTGCCTTTACTTTTGCAGTATCCGTAAACGTCGTCAAGGCCGCCGCTTACGTATGGATCCTCGTCGTGCGCTACGTAGTCGATTTGATGCTAAACAGGCGAGAATAAATACGGTTCAGCAAGGTGCTGCATAGGGCTACGGCGGGGATCCTCAGCGCGGCGAGGGGATACATACCTGGAGCAAAGCAGGTCAGCATGAGCTAGGGCGGACGCGAGCTGCACAGGAGGCAGACGAAGCGATGGGAAAAGGGCGGCAGACGTGGACAGAAAAGCCCGATATTCACATATGTAGCCTCAGGCCCAATACGGCCTTAATGAAGACGCAAGATCGTCGTGACTTTCGCACGAAGACAGATGCCAAGATGTTATATACGAAGATCGCCGTGTCCCGCGTCATGAAGACACATAGAATACTCGATTTAGCATCCCTGTGTCTGCGGGACTGGGCACCGTGGAAGGCGTACGCAAACTCAAAGCCGATTGTTCCTGAGTGCCGTACAGAGCCAAACACGTAGGATAGCTGCATGTACCATTCTGTGCTACTAGCTTTGACGCATCGCCCAATTAGCGCACAATGCACTTGCAGACGGCGTTCATCCGTGGCTGCCGGAAATATATGCAACACACCCCAGGCCGCAATGTAGACGCAATGCGACGAAACACCTAAACACATGCGCACCTTCTGTAAGAACGCCTCGTCGATCACCCATGGCGCGTCCGGAACCACCTCGTCGACCCAGCGGCAATGTCGCACCGCCTCGCACCTGCAACGCACAATGCTCGTCAGCGCTCAGCCGCGCCTCTCGTCATTGGAATGGCCAGGGCACCGAAATTCGGCGAGAGGGGACACAAGCGAAATCACAGGCACTTACCGCTCGGCATGATTCATGACAGGCCTGTTCTTGTGCTCTGTACACTGCTGGTCCGAATTGACGCCAACGAGGAGGTGCACACCCGACGCGGCGCACGCAGGCGTGTCCTCCGAAGCGGAGCCGGCGAACGCGGGGGGTGGGAACGAGAGCTTAGCTTGGCGCAGCTGGAGGGCATGTCTGTAAAGGGATCAGCTAGCGAGTGAGAACGCAGCGGAAGGAGAGAGTGGCCGGTGGATGTGCAGTGTACGTGGAGGGGGTGCAGAGTGAGCGACTACTCATTCAGAGGGTCTATATGTGGAAGTGATACAAGGGAACCGTGGCGAGAATGAGGGGACGCATAACCCAAAATGGAGCACATACCCGAAGTGAAAGAGATCGTATACGCCTGTATGCGACGATCGTCAGTCGCGCACCGCGCATAGGGAGTCATGACGCACCATCCGCATATATGCGCGCTGGACGGCCCGCCGGCGGCGGATTGACTTTGTATTTCCGTTGCCGTGCATCCTGGCCCTCAGCCGCAATTGCAGCGCGGACGTACGCCTGAATGTCGGCGGGCGTGAGCTTCGCAGGGTCGAAAGCAGCCGCGGCGATGGGCGCAGGCAGCGGTTCTGAGAGCTCTGTGGCGAGATGCGGGTCCGATGGCGCAGGATCACTTCCCGTAGGTGGAAGAGGCGCGGCGGGGCTCGCGGGGCTGGTGAGGGTGGATGCGGGGGACGCGGCGCGGGTGCTCGCCGACGAGTCGTAATTGCTGCTGTACGTGGAGGCGATGGGCACGCGGGGGCCCGGCGCAGCGGCAGTGGTGCTGCTCTCGATGTCACCATCGTAGGTAGGCGAGTCGGTGCCGGCGTCGTCGTCGCTCATGAGCGCGACCGCGAGTGCAGTGCGGCCAGGAGGAGGGCGGCGAGCGCTGGCCTGCCTGCTGCTAGCGTTAGCGTTAGCAGCAAGAAGGCGGGCGGCGGGGGCGGGGACACTGGAGGCGGAGGCGGCGTCGTCGGTCAGGGGGTCGTTGTCCTCCTCGGAGGCATCATAGGCGGCGGGGGAGTCGAGGGGCGTGCGGGGGTGTGCGTGAGCATGTAGCATAGTGTGTCGGGAGTTGAAGGAGCGTTTTCCGTGGAGAGGGCGGCGAGCGGCGACGGCGTCCATCGTGGGCAGCGATGAGGAGCGAGTTTTGTATTCTCCACTCGACGACGAACTCCGGCGGACAGGAGCACGCACGTGCGTTATCCGATCAGGCAGGTCCCTTGCCCTTCTTGGCCATCCGAGCCTTTCTGCCCAGCGAAAGAGAGACAGCTCGTGTCTGCGCGACTCTGCTCGGCCGTTTGGCTTGCCCTGACATTCTATTGAATGCCCATACCGCTGATCTTGCTCCTTACTAGATGATCAACACTTTGAGAACATCCGCCGTGGTTCTGGATGATGTGCTTGGCATGGACTCACGATGTTCCCCACCGGTTAGCCCCTGCGCCCATCGCCGGTCCTCGCGATAGGCAGCACCCCTCTTCGTAAAAAATAGCATGGTGTCTGTCCGTCGCATCATGCTGTCTGAGGATTTCGAAGCTGATCCCACACCTTGGCGGCCTATCTACAAGCATGCAATGCACAGAACTGGATTCCATACCGTCGGGACTTGGGAAGATTCCTTTGCATCTGTGCCTGGGGCTCAGAGTGAGGAGTACCACATGATTATCTGCTGGCCAACATATGACAGGTTCCTATCGATTAGTGGTCAGATCATCACGTTGTGGTTTGGGCATCCGCTCAAGCAGAACCGTGGGGACGGGGGCTCGAATCCCCCTAGGAACATTTTTTGTACTTTTTGTTGTAAGCATCCTGAACGCAATACTACCACTGGCAGATACGTAACATATGCCTTTGCTTGCGCCAGATATCGGGATAATTCTCATTAAGAATGCGCAGAGATGCACTGATTTGGGGCTGTTATCCTCGTTGTGCGCACTGTATACATAATAATATGAGATGTTCTGTACCAGCGCAGTCCTGCAGTGGCGGGCGGGCCTGACACCCAATGAGCGATCCGCGGTGGTCGGCTTGAACTCATTCTATTCCCCTCACTGAGCGGTTTGGCGACTCGACGCATGATGCACTCTCGCCTACAGCTTAGACTGTGCGTACTGGATAGTGTGTAGCGATGGTAATCAGATGTCTTTCGTGTGCCCTGGAGAAACAACCTATCGAGGTGCAGCTCAACTTTTTCATCCAACGCCGCATTCTATACACCGTGCAGGCTCATCGCGATGCACCAGGACGCCCCGCCCCGCCTACAGCCAAGAATCAGACTTCTTTTGCTCCTGCAGGCTTGCACGCCCTCCAAGACGTCCGAGGTGCGTGACACGCCATTCGAACATTTCAAGCCGCTTTATAGGGACGGCATACGTAGATTCGGTCGCGCGACTCCTTTTGTGACGTGGTCGCATTCCTTTTGTTACTCTTTTGTTCGCGTCCACGTCCAGACTTCCGCACGCGTCTTCAAATTGCTCGATCATGCTGCATGTTGAAGGATGGGCATTCCATCTCACCTCGAGGTGCACAGATTCCCTGCACATTCCCGCTGTTGCTTCTCGGGGAAACATGGGGGTGGCTGAGATACGTGTTGGTGCTCGGGCGCTACAATCCACCGTTCCCATGTAATTTATAGCTTGAGGAAGGGACGAAAGACCCCAGTGTGATATGTCATGTCAAGCTTCGAGTCCTTCCAATCGCCTTGCTCCTGCTGATTATTGGCGCTCTCCATCGTTCGTGTCGCAGAATACGGATAACGTATGCATGCACCCACTCCCAGGAGCAGCACGCATATAGAGAGCATCCTACTCTTGAAGGGAGTACGTTAATGATTCCCGTGTGTAGGCGCGGCCTTGCCTGCGTGTGTGCTGCGCGAAGTCACAGGCTGACCCGCAAGGGCCGCTCACTGCATGCGATGCCATCGAAAACGAGGAACCCAGTGGTGTGTGTCTGTGCAATCTTGGCCTGGACATTCACGGCCACATCGCGGTGCGCCACCTTCCGCGCATTGCTGTCGCTCTGCTCGATGCAACTTTCGTCGAATGCGAGTGGACACTGCCGGGCAGAGAGCCTGTATACTGTCCATGTGTGGATGCTGTACCCGGTCGTCCGACTACAGTTGAGGACGATAATTGGGAAGATCGCTGCATCTAGCCGTCTTTGATGGAATCGTCCCAGCCCCATGGAGAGCCGGTGAATGGGAGCCAGCGACTATGGCTTGTTTGCAATCCAGCCCCCACACAGAGAGCATGGCCTTCACTCTCTGCACTTGTGAAAATAGCGGTTCAATCCAGATGCCAAGTTCGAGGCACGCCATGGCTGTCGGACTACAACTCACGGCTAGAAAGACGGGGATAGCGGGCTGCAATTTTCCTCCGAGAACGTTATTTCGTGTGTGGCGGTCGAGACTCCACAGTATTTGATAGCGTCTTTCGCAATTCAGTGTCTACAGCAGGCTGTGTTCAATGTTGTTCTTGATATTGAAGGTTCTCTACTGCGGCTGCGGCTGTTGGTGGTGAGACAGCTGCTCGTAACGATCCGTGGTCCAACGTGACCAACAACGGGGGGGATCGGACGGTTGGCAAGGCATATATTTATATCGCAATGCTCTATTCTTGACGTCTCGTCATCTGTGCTCGTCGCTGACGTCCAGTCTTCCACGGGTGGTGTGTGCGTACCCTCCGAATACGGCTGGTATCGCCACTGAACCTGACCAGTGTGTTGTGTGGGCAATACAATGTCGCTGCCTCGGTCCCATTTCCTTCTCCGTGTATGCATCGTAGGCTGGGTTCGATCCTGTGTGGCTCTCATTCTACTGTTGACGTTGCTGCATGCTTGTGAGCACAGAGCTATGAGCGGAAGAGGTTGGAATGTACTTCACTGTTGTGTGGCCTGGTCATTAGATGAACGTGTGTACGCGTGGAGGAAATGAAGCTGGTGCGGTGAAAGCCTTACAGTAATCACCTAGCCTAAGTGTGATGTGCTTTGGCCTTTCCAGGCCCACACATTGGGCCATGCGACAAAGCGTGACCAGTGGACGTGTTGTTTGGGCCCATTTGGTGCGCTCGAAACCTGTGGGCGGGCGGCTAGGCAGCTCTATCCTCTTCTTTCTCCCTCCGTGACATTCACTCCAGACGCTTTTCTCGCCACATCGCGCAGCACGCTTTGACGTGTCCACGCTTTGATCACACTTCATTCACACCTCACGATACCACCTCCGACAGTACAATGAATTTCTATGTCAACGGCCACAACGAGGGATGGCCATTGGAGCCATCTCTGGCCGCCGCCGACGGAGATGTCGTTTGGCCTATACACGACGGCAACCCGCTTTCCGAATGGGGAATTAACTTGATAGCTTCCCAAGCACCGTAAGTAGCTGATACAACGCTGCTCGACGGCCCGATATTCATTTCAACCTGCAGGTATGGACTTAGCTGGGCTCTGCCACTTGATCATCAAGAACTACCCGTATACCCTCTCCCACTACCGCCACCCGTACGCGAGAGTCGATACTGGAACGGGCAGAGCCCGAAACGGTGTGGCTGGCATGATGCCGGCGCTGCCGAGTGTCAGTTCGAGGGTCCGGTATCGCTGCTACGCCATCATGTGCAGACCGTGCACATAGGAACAGCCACAACAATCACCTGCCGGATCTCCGGTTGTAACAGATCCATCAACAGAAACGCCTATATGAGACACTTAGCCAGTAACAAGCACTGGCGTCTCAAGCGCGCTTGCGAGATGTGCGGGTTCAGCTCGCGAGATGATATGTTCGAAGCGCGGCACAAGAAACAAAAATGTCCAATAGCACTTGATGCTGCTGCTCGGGAGCCGACCTCAACTCATGGAAGAAGACGACGGAAAGGTGTTGGCGCCGCAGCACAGACAGATCATGCGACAAGGCGTCGGAGACGGGAGTAATGGGGGGGGGAAGCTGTCGTTTCATCGTATCTTATTGGTATTGGTTATCTCCTCGCTCTGTGCCTCTTAGTTTTGTGATCTACTCGCTCTGTATCTCTGGTGTTGTACTGTAGTGCTTTGTATTATTATCGTGCCGATAGTCTCGAGAGCCGGTGTGACATGTTGACGCGTTATGTCACGCGCCGTACTCGACGCGTCTGATCACGGGATCGTTCATTTCCTGCTCGCGTCGCCAACGCGTAGCCACTTTGATTCAGCTTGCCGAATAGTTGTAAAGAGAATGGGTGTCGCTGGCCTGTGGGATGTGAGTCGAGCATGTCCTATCCGAGCCGTACTCAACATGATGTCCTAGATTCTGCGCCCTGCGGGCGAGACGCGTTCGCTCACGCATCTTGCCGTTGTCGACGGGTTCGAAGCCAATCCCGATGGCGTGCGTGGCTTTCGCGTTGGTATCGACGCAAGCATTTGGTTCTACCACGCAACTTACGGAAGAGAAGGCGAGAATCCCGAGCTTAGAACGCTATTTTTCAAATGCACTCGGCTTATGAGCGCGCCGTTCCTGCCCCTATTCGTCTTCGACGGCCCCAACCGTCCCGCCGTCAAGCGAGGTAAACGCATAAGCGGCAAGAATCACTGGATGGTTCAAGGAATGCAGAACATCATCGACGCTTTCGGCTTTGAATGGCGAATGGTTTGTTCTCGTCCAATTTCGCCATGCCTCGACTGAACCTGCTCTCAGGCTCCCGGTGAAGCCGAAGCCGAACTGGCGTACTTGAACCGCATCGGGGTCATCGATGCCGTGTACACAGATGATGTGGACACATTCTTGTTTGGTGCCAAGATGATTGTGCGCAAGTAAGCTGACGTTCTTCAAGTGGGCTCCCCAGCGCTAATCATGCATGGCCCATAGCCCAAGTATTACCCTCAGTGGAAACCGGGCGCACTCTCTCAAGAATAGTGCTGGGCGCGAAGATGGAAACCATGTAGCCACTTACACCTCGGAGAACCTCTTGAAACATCCTTCTGTTCAACTAACACAGGGCGGCTTGATCCTCATTGGGATCCTCCGAGGCGGAGATTACCACCAGGCAGGTCTCACTGGCTGTGGTGCCACTACCGCGCATGGCTTAGCCAAATGCGGGTTCGGCGACACACTCTTGCACGCCGCACGCACCCTCCCACGAGAAGAATTTCCCGAATTCCTCGACATTTGGCGTAATAACCTCCGCACAGAGTTGCGAACAAATTCGCAAGGGCACATCGGGCGCAAGAACCCCTCTCTGGCAAAGTCGATACCTGACGACTTCCCGAACATGGAGGTATTGCTCAGCTATACAAACCCGGTGACGACAGAGGCGAAAGGTGTAAAGTCGAAAAACCTGACCATCAACTGGGAGAAGGAGCCTGACCTCGGCAAGATTGCAGAGCTGTGCGAGCTCTACTTCGAATGGGGCGTAAAGGAAATCATCATTAAGCGATTCAGGACAGTTCTTTGGCCCGCGGCGGTGCTTCGTATTCTCAGGCGCGGAGCCCTTGTGAAGGATAAATACGCTGACAAACTCCCCAATTCGCATAACGGCATTCCAGTCACGCCAAGAAAAAGCGGACGGGAACGTAGAATGCCTGGCACTCCTTCGTCGATGATTGCGAAACACTTCTCCTCAATGCACCTCAACACCCCGCGGCGTGACCCGGCTCTTGATTCCGACGAGGAGGAGGATGGTGAACAACTCATTGTGAAGATTCACTCATCTCGCGAGCACGCGTCGACTGACGGTATCTTGGAGTATCGCCTAGAGGTTTCCCCTTCTCAGCTCGTCCGTTTGTGCGAAGCCGGGGTCAAGGGGCTGCGGAAAGAGGTAATTAATGGCCTCGATGATACAGATGATGAGGGCGACGATGACGATGAAGACGGAGGAAAGGGGAGCAAGAGAGGAAAGAAGCCACCACCGGATCCGCAAAGCCACCTGCGCATATGGCTACCCGCATGCATGGTCCGCATCGTAGAGCCTGAGCTTGTTGACGAGTTTGAAGGGGTTCAAGAGATGCGAAAAGCGAAGAAAACAGCAAAGGGAACAAGTGCTGTGCGCGGTAGAAAAGCTAAGACTGCTGGCGCAGTTGTCACAAAGGGGAGAAATAGCCGAAAACCCCACAGCCTCGTTGAAAGTGAGGAGCAAGATTCAGACGGTTCTATTTCACCTACGCCCAAGAAACCCACGTTGAAGAAGCCGTCCAAGACCGCAAGTCATTGTGAGGTGCAGGAGGTTAATGAATTTGAACCTAATGACACACTGTCGCATCGATCACACGATCTAAAGGGATTCTTCACGACGGGCAAGAGTTCATCGGGAGGGAAAATGCAGACCAAAGCAGGCTTGAACGCCCGCAAGGACCCATCGTGCCAGCAGCAAGCATTCTCGAGAAATGTTCGCGCCAATCCCAACAAGGCATCGAATTTCATCGTCGATGTGAGTGATAGTTCAGACGATGAGCCCGCTGCTGGCCCATCTCGTCTGCGAACTTTCAATCTATCATCGAGGACATCTTCTGCTAACTCTGGAGCAACCTCGTCAACCCGGCCCAGCAGCATTTTGTCTGCCTTCGATGTTTTGCAATCGTCTCCATTGACCGAAGAGGATGAGGTACCGAAGCCTCGGTTCATTCCGGCGCCTTTCCCGATATCTCTCGCCGACGATCCAAGGCAAGGAACATCTTCCTCTGACCAAGGCCATCATTCTGAGCGCAGTCGGCACCGACCTCTGTTAACATCTGACTCTGATCGAGACCGGGCAACCCTTCAAAAGTCACCGCGGAAAACGAAGGAGCATTCTTCTCCCCGTCCAAAGTCTCAAAATAATAACGGAAACACTATTCCTGACCGCGCTGAGTCTCCCACCCCCATCCGACAACGTGCACCGATTCGCGACCCGGCTCAGACCAGCACACAGCCAAAGCTACGAGCGCTCAATTTAGAGCAATCCGTGATCGAGATTTCTAGCGACTCAGAAAGAGAGCTCCTGGATGTGAAGGTTGCTCCACTACTACTCGCAAGGGCGAAGTTGGCTGGTACGGCTTCGAGTAGGCAAACATTGTTACCGCCATCACCGCGACGCACAGGGAAGACTAGAACTACCCAGCTCGGAGCCAAACATAAGTCGACTACGAGGGCTGTGGTTACAGAAGACATTATCGATCTCACGTCACCATAGATGTACGCACATTGTTGCAGTATCTAGTTCATGATAGGGCGGGACACACATTTACCATAATTTATACTTTACTTTCCATATTGTATTGCTCGAGAATATGATTGTATACATGCTTGTGGAATGCTAGGATGGCTACACATATGGAAAACAATATATGAGACGGTATGCAATGGCCCGAAAAACATGCACGAAGTGCAGCATTCTCAATAGTACAATCTTATAGATAGAGTGTCGTGAAATCACTGTATGTCTGTCCTCGAACTCCTTCTCCTGGCCCCTGAGAAGTCGCTTGTTCCCGGTCCATCGTTTGCGCGGAGGCAGCAATTTGGTCCCGGAATTTCTTGATGGCTCGCAAACGAGCCCGCCAATTGGTCTGCATCTCGACCTGTAGGGTGTCGCTTTCCGTGTACTGAAAAACGGAGACGAACCAATCCGTGAGGAGGCTGAGTTGCCTTACGAGAAGAGGCAGGTTTTCTGCAGATATCAGCTTGAAGTCGCCGATGGGAGTAAAATCTATCATCCCTGGCGCACGCTGAACGACGACTTTAAAGTATTCGTTCTCGTGCAAATTGTTGGAGTATGCTGCTATCGAACCTCGGGAGTGTGGTTCGATAATGATATTGACAAATTGGAACTGCGTTGTAAGGGTATCGAATTTGTAAGGCTTGCCTGAATCGTTCCAGACGATCCTGACGAAATCGTTTCCAATATGACGTTTCTTGTTCGTACATTGTTCGTCAATGGAAGAGGGCATCAGCGTCGCAGTATGATAGAGGATTTGTCCAATGTCGTCCCACCACGCATACGCGTATTCTCCATCCTCGTCAGGATCCAGGCCTCCAGCGTACACATCAACCTGACCGCGAAGATTGATGAGTCGTGCAAGCCCCTCGAGAAAGCGTGTGTATGCGGGAGATCCATGACTATTCCGCAGAATCTCACTCTCATCGAACTGTCCAGGGGCAACGTACATGATTCCGACCTTGTGGGTATCGATGACAGGCATCCTGTCCAATGAACGACAGAAGCTTGCCAGACGATGCGTGTCTTTGACGGGCTGCAAATGCTCTGGCAAAGTTTCTGGGTACGAGGACAGCTGTATGGCGAAGTAAGCGGGGTCGATAGAGACATCCTTTCGACGCTGTGATGGCGCCGAGCCACTCCAGACATAACCTGTAATTGGATCGGGTCGCTGTAGACTATCCTCAGCGTCGCCAGCGGATACCAGGGAGTCCTAGCAACAAATCAATAAGGGGTCCAACATGCATATGAAGGCACTCACTCCTAGTGACTCTCTTTTCAAGGAGACCTCTTCACCGGGAGGGACTAACACGGGCCGACTCTGCATCCCTCGATCTAGTGTGGGACACGCAGCTACCGAGACAAGGTCTGGGTCTACGTCACCCAGGGGCACCATAGGTACGTTCTCCGACCTGCACAGAAACTTCGTGAGACCTGACGCCCTGCGGGTCACGATCTCCAGCCAGCCACGACGCTGTAGAGCGCGAACTGTGATGACAGCATTACCAGTGATCCAAGTCTTCTCGCACAGTGCAGGTTCAGGCTGTGACTGTTGAGACGCGGACTTCATGACGATATCACTCAGCATAGAGTTCGCAGGCCGCGGATCAGCGCTCGCATAGGTATAGCGCGCAAGCCAATCGAAGCAGACTTCTGCCGGTTCGTCGACCTTCTCTCCTTTTCCTTCATTGGCGAGTTCGAGCTGTCGCGCAATAAATTTGATATGTCGAGGTCTATCAGGAAGTTCAACGGCCAAAAACCACAGATAGACAATGTAATAGCTCATGATCTTGAGGTACTGGGAAAGCGCCCACGAAACGTTGACGGAGTCGCCAGGGTGGTTGTGGTGCTGCAAGTATTGTAGTGCGACAGCGAAGACCATTTTATAGTCGCTCTCGGTGAAGTTGGCATGCAGACCACGATGAGATCCAATGATAGCCAAGAAGTCAATGATATGGACTGCCATAGCGGGATTCGACATGATCTGAGATAGCTTTTCCAGAATACTGGATAGAAACTTGGTCGTCGAAGGCTGTAGTTCAAAGGCGCACAGGGAGAGCGCATGTAGGCAACATTTGATAGTGGAAGGCTGCCCGTTCAATCCGAGCAGGAAAGCCTCGACAAGGTGATGTTGCGACTGTATTTCTAGGAAGCACCGCTTGTAGCTTATCAACACGGTAAGGGAATGATAGGCGAGACCGTGAGCGTCCTTTGCGATGATATTATCGGGCCAATGCTCGATTGCCGTCGCCAGCGATCCTTTGGAGATCCCCGAGCACAATGTTGTCAGCATCCGTCCGAGCACTACTCGTGATTTTGGGCCGCAAAAGAGGTGTTTGTTGGCAAGTTGAGTAGGGAGATGGCATAGGACATAAGACAGTATCTCCCATTCCTTCTCTCCCTCGATGATGTCGACGAGTTTAGTGAGATACTGAGAGAATGGGAGTACCTTTCCCTGCTTCGGAGATGTCGGATCGTAAGAAGTGATTCCCTCGCTCGCCGTATCGCAATCAATCAAACTGAAGGGCAAGACTTCGGGTAGTGACCAGATAGGATCCCTGGGCTTGAGTCGTTGCGAAGATGAAGGCGTAGGAACAAGTAGAGGCGTTGTCCTAGAACGGCTCCGGGACTCTATCCTAGCAGGCTGTCCCCCTCGACCGCGAGATGGACGCCTCCCGTTTCGTTCTTGTGGAATACGGGGTCTCGCACTGCGCAAGTCATGGTCGCTGGTGGACTGCACTCCCGAACCTGGCGAAGCCTGCGAACGGCTGACCAGAGCGGCCAAGGTTGAGATGTGGCCATCCTTGTCGTAATCAGCTGATGCATAATACAGCCTGTGGTCCCGGTCGACTCGTAGGCGCATGAGGAACTGCAAAACAGCCAGACGGGCTCTGATACAGTCCGCCTCTGAGAGCAGGCTGACCAGAATTCTGAACACCCGCACAGCTAGCTCCGTATTGCTCTCCGTCAAAACAAGAGGAGTGAAAGTCAACTGACTGAAAATCGATATAAGCGCCGCGACAGCGCCAACAGTCTTTGGTGTTGCGGGAAGCTCTGAAGATTGCGTAGGCGGAGATTCCACGAGTGGCGCAGAGTCTGCAGGCTGTCGTGACTGTGATTGCGAGCGGGGAGAGTTTCCAGATGTGAACGAAGACAGGATAGACATTACAGATGGGATAGCCGACTCCCGGTCTTTGCCCTGATAATCAGATTGCATTCGAGACATGACAGGGGACGCAGTGGCGGTCGAGACAGCAGGGAATTGCGGAGATATAGTGGACGGCATGTCAGTGGTGCGGATAGACGCAGTGTCATCGTTGTCTTCGTGTCTCTCTGTAGCTATAGTGTGCAGAAAGTCGATGATCTGGCCAGGGGCGCCGCGCTCTTCCACATCCGGTTCTTCGTGAGCTTCGGCTTGACGCAGCACAGCTTCGTCACCGAGTACATTCCAAATCTCCGGCACAGCTACGTCTTCCATTTCGGCCTTCGTCTGCGTCTTCCAGAAATCAAAGACAAGCTCCGCCAGAGGTCGTCGATACACCGGGATATCCTTGACGAACTCCCACACCTGCTGCAACGCCTTCATCGCAACAGGCCGCGTTTGAGGCCTAGCCGCCGTGTAAAGTCCCGGTATCATGAGGATGCTGCGCCAGTGCTCAAGCCACAAGGGTGAAGTGGGCGTGAGGCTCTGACGTTCTGACATCGTGTCAAGCAAGCTTGCGGTTTCCGCGTCAGGGATGTGCTCTGCAATGCTAAGAATGATGGTGGGAAGCACTGAATAGAGCGGACTGATTGTGAGGTCCTGTGCGAGTAGTATGGTCACTGACGCGAGGAAGGGTGAGACGTCATCAGTCTGTGCGAGCGACAGGACAACAGGTCCTCCTGCGCGCGTCCTGGAAGAGAAGCATATACATAAGCATTGTCATGAGAAACGCAAGCAACATAAACGTACTTTAGCGAATGAAGGTACACCACCAGCTCCCGCATTACGTCCCCCACTGCGCTGACCTCCTCGTCATCCACCTCCTCGTCGCTGCTCCGCTGATCCAATGTCTGTATCACATCCTTCAGGATCCCAGCCACTTCACTCAGGACGGCTTCTTTGCTCGGCTCCGCAGGCTCCTTCTCGACCCACGCCTTCACCGCACGGCATAAGAGACTGCGCGCTTTGATGAGGTCCCACGATGCGGCGTCGTCTTTGGGCCATGCGTGCTCCAGAAAATTGCGCTCGAGGTCGATACGGCTTGGCACGCCTGCAGGCGTGTACTCGTCGACCGCTGCCTGCGTGATGAACGCACGCGCGAGCCGTGCGAAGAGCATCTCGCGGACGGAGATGCGCAAGGTCTTCAGCGCCCCAACGGACGCCTGCACGCTGGCGAGGGTCAGCTCCTGCGAAGGGAACATGTAGTGCTTCAGAAGCCTGGTGCATGAGGACGAGTACGGGCCGGATATGAGTATCTTCATGGTGTCCGCTATGCGTTTCTCCAAACTGTGCTGGTGGGGCGAGCTGAGCGTCAAGGAGATACGGGGAAGAGGAGATGCGTAGAAGGCGAGAGAGCGGAATAGCAGGGGCAGTATGCTTCTGAGATGCGTCGGGGCAAGTGCCAGCAGACGTGTAGAAAGGTACGTGAGGTAAGCGTCCACGACAATCTCTGCAGGGTGCTTCAAGGACAGCAGTGATGGATGAGACGCGGACGAGTGGTGCCTCCGGTGCGGGAACCTGCTCGGCGACGCCGGTTTTGGCGAGCGCGACTCATTGAGAGGCGACGACGGGGGAGAAACGTAGTCCAGAGGGACCAGCAGCGCTTGATCGATCAATGTTCCCCACAGCCGCAGCACGCCCTCCGTGTCTGCTTCCGATAGCCTCGATACGAACTCAGGCTTGCCAACAAGGGCCGTCAGAAACGCGGCCAGCGTCTCGACACTGCGCTGGCGCTCATGTCGCTCCTCCACAGACGGCGCCTCGGCCCGCGTGAGCCCCTCGAACGCACCCTCGATCCAGGATCGGAGCACCCGGAGCAGGTCGCCCTCCATACCGATCGTCTCTGCACCAGAGTGGATGATCGCGACAAGCGCCTTGAAGCGCTCCTCCCACACCTCTGGCGACCACAGCACGGCGGGCTGCAGGAACAGCGACAGACACGAGAGCCGGTCGCCCGTCGTCAGCACTGCGGACCCGCTGTTCTCCCAGTACGCTGCCAGTATGTCGTAGCCGGCGGCCTGAAGCGACAGCGGCTGACTGTCAGAGCACAGCGAGCCGAGTATCGGACTGAGAATGGCGAGGCGGGGATTGGAGGCTTTCGCGGAGAGGGCGCTCGATAAAGCGCGCGCATGGCTGAGAGACGGCACCGCAGGCGGCGTCAGTGCTTCAATTAGGGCCTCGAGAGGTAACGACGGCTGAGTTGACGTGCTCGCAGTAGGCGTGGCAGCAGCCTCACGCCTGTCCCTGCGCCAGTTGAACGGGGGGAATGTACTGGTATTAGATCGCGGGCGAGCAGGTCGGTAGACATCTTCGGCCTGAGGAGACATTCAAACTGAAGTGTGTCAGCGTCGGGTCTAAGTTCTAGAGAAAAGAGGGAAGGGTGGTCGATGCTAGCGGATGCAGCTTTTCTCTTTCACGCAAGGCACTTAACATGTGCTACACGTGCGCCACACGAGGGGAGCGGAAAATAGCCCTCAGCCATGCTGCCAACTGCAGGAAACCCCTTCCAGCGCTCGTAAGGCTGCATAGAAACGCCGGCACAAGGGGTGAAGCTTACTCACTAGCCAATTAATCCAGGATCGTACATGCAAGTAAGTGGACAGAGTCGCCGTCTGCGTCTGCGTTCCGGTTCTACATCACATGAGGCTTATCAGCATCTTTCCACCAAGTCTGCATATCACAAAGAGGGATCGGAAACAGTGACAATCGCAGGAACCAGCACGCATATACATGACGCACACCTGCGATGTGAGAAAGTCGAGCATCCTTCTTAATAGTAATGATCTGCGCTTCGGAGATACACCAACAGACATGCAGGGCCGAGGGCTTCATAAGACAAGATCCGAGTTCTCTGTACTAGTTACGGGTGCCGGTAGAGGCAGAAGGCCAGGATGACTGTTGCCAGATACTGGTCACGACAACAAGCCGCAGCAGGATAGCGCCTGGTGCTCCGAGAACTTAATACCAATGAAGCCTTGAACAGCTTTGTAGATCCGGCTTGGAGAGAAAGTCGTGGGGAGGACCGTAAGGTATGTGTGACATCACGAGCCGCGTATGAAATAGAACTGCGATGGTCTCAGCATCCGCAAGCAAGCACCGAGAGATTGGCGTCTCGTCGAAGGGGCGATCCCAAGCGTCTAGAGTCACTGTCTCCGGGTAGCACAACGCTCCTAGATGATGAGAGCCAAATTGAGCATGCGGACATGCCGACCTCAGATAGCGCGTGTTACCGACGCTTTCAGGCGCACGGCGGTGCGAGTGATAGGAACCAGGACAGTACCTAACGACTCCCCTTCACAAAACCCAGAGCTCGTGTACACCCGACACTCTCCTTCGAGGAACTCTCTGGGCTAGTATATCCGGAAAGCACTCACTTGGTTTTCGCAGCCAACCTTTGGGTTATGGTGAGTCTTGTCCCCAGCGGTGTTCGGGCGCGGTTGAAGATGGCGAGGGCGATGGTGGAAGCAGGAGACAAGAGGCAGGCGGACCCACCGCGGGGCCAATTGGATGTGATTCCCCGAAGGCGATCTCACTTCTCTGATCGCGCGTGCGTTACACCGGCATCCTCCGCAACTACCCGTATATGGTTATTGTCGCCCTCGTCTCTGTGCTGATCGATATTATAGCAGCTCATATTACTCGGTGCCAATTCTGAGCTCGCGAACCTCTGGATGTGCTATCGGCTACAACGCAACGGATATGTCTCTACATCTACGCATCCGGCTGCGGGCACCGCTACTCGGGATGCCGGAGTGTGGTCACAAGACGGCTGCAATCTGTCAAAGGAGGTCCAGCATTCAGTCCGAAAAGTCTCGAGCGGCGCACGGACCTTCCATCGCTTTTTTAGCAATCGCCATCCCCTGGACCTGTCCGCGCTCGCGCTCCTTCTCGCCTTCTCGTACACCCTGATGTTTCTGTTCGGCGAGTAGCTAGAGCAGTCTCGTCAGTCGTTGCTGTGACAAATAATGCCGACGGAATACCAGAAGCTTCTGCTGCTCTTTGAGCAATTGTGTCCACAGGTTCCGGATCTCGTCCTCGACACTAGCGTATTCCAGGACGAATTTCTCGTATTTGTCGTCCCTGGCACAAGGATACCATTACGATTGCAGCCTTGTGATACGCATGAGACACTTGAAACTCACAGTTCTTCCGCTGCCTCTGTGAACTCTTCTGTTCTCTGCGCAATCTACATCATCCGCGTCCGTCAGGAGGCGCATATAGCCAGTGGAGAATCTTTCAGACGCATTTAGTCAGCAATGCTTGCGCCTCCTGGAAGTATTTTGCTTCTTTTTCTTTTCTTTTCTTTTCCCATGAGTCTATGTAACCGTCAGTACCTCCGATATGCATCGCGACGTGTACTCACTTTGCATTTGCTGTGCAACCACGGTCATTATGCTAGCATATACACCAGTAGGATAGTTGTGTTATTCAAGTTGCACGCATTAGTGCAGGATTGGGTACAAACCCGGCGTCATCGCTGCTCGGTGCTTGCTGAGAGTACTGCATGATACTTGAGCACATACTACAATCGACATCTCTAGACCCTCCCCACCTTTGAGTTTTCGGAGCGGCCTTGAGGCATAGTTATCTTCAACGTGTGTCAAGTATATGCACTAGGATGGGTAATGCCCCCGGGAAATCAAGATCAAGGCTCGCGGAGTTGATCGTGCATTGCAGGGGGCATGACGCGTTACACGCGACGCCATCACGTGCAACGCGTATACGGTCGCTCTTGGCGCCTATTCATCTTCGTTCATCCTGCTCCTATTTGTTCACTTCATGGAGAGCAGCCCCAAACTGCCCAACACATCGAAGCTCACTCATTTCTCACAGCTTTCACCTTGTGAGCGTTAACGTAGCCATGCCCCGCTCAGACAATCTCGTAAGGAGGCCGATATGCATGTCGTAGCTTACATTCGGCTCATTAAATTTCAGCCCCCACCAGCGAAGAGGCTGCGTATGGCCGTTCCAGACGGTTTCATAGTCGAGCGCAAGAGCCCTGCCAAGGTAGTCGCGCCAAAGTTCGTGTCCGCCTTCAGCAGCAGACGCCTCGCCACTTCGACCAGACCTTCTATCCTTCACGACACAGTTCCTCGCAGACCCAGCGTCGACCGCTCAAAACGTGCAACAGACTCTCTCGCCCAGAAGCCGTCTACCCTGCGCGTGCGCAAGCCTCCCCCACCACCAGAGCTCCCTGCTGCTTCAAGTTCGACAAGGTCTGGCAATCCGCTCTCCGCACTCAGGCCTGTCTTTGTCCTCCCGCAGCATCCCGCCCCTGCACAGAAGGTTGTGCCGCTCCTCGATCGAGTCCCGCCACCGCTCCATGCGACGGCGCGGCCGATGAAGACGATCTTCACCACGTCCATCGCGCGCGCGACCGACTTCCGCTCCGCCGCTGGCGCCGCGGAGCTGCTGTCGATCTTCCTTCAGGAGCACGGACACGGCTTCGTCGATCCGACAGAGCGCGAGCTGCAGCGCGGACTCGAGCAGAGCCCAGAGAAGATGAGCAAGCGCAAACGGGGGACACGGTTCGCCGGGTGCGTCGTCCTAGTCCTTGGCTCTTGGCTGCATGACGACCGAACGCTGACTACTGCCGTATACCGTGCTGTAGAGGCGGGCTAGCGGATCGCGCGCGTACGCGGTTCCACCAGAGCAAGACCGCGCTGGCGCTCTGGCAGTCGGGCATTGAGCTCAAGATGCGCAAGGGCCAGGCCACCTCGCCCGACATGCGCCTGCGCGTCGCCGAGGTGGTGTACGCGGCGACGAGCGATGACCACCAGCGCCCGGGCCACGCGCCGTGCCTCGGGCTCGTGCGCTGCCGCGCGGTGCCCGAGCGCAAGGACGCCAACGGCGAGGTGGTCGTGCTGCTCAACTTCGACGGCACGGAGTCGGCTGCGCCGCCGTTCAACAAGCCAGGCGACCTCGTGAGTGGTGGGGAGCTGCATATCTGGCGTCCATGGCAGACTATGACATTGCCATCTTCCGAGCTGGGCGACCCGCTGCACAATACGCCTCCGGACTCCGCTTTTGTGGCGCCAAGGACGTCGTCAGAGAACACCAGTGTTCTGTTTTGCACTCGTTTTTGGATCCGCCGCTCTCGATCATGACTATGGTTGCATATACTGTCGCATAACTTATTTTTGAGACTGCTGTAGCATTATACTACGTGGATAGACTGTATCAACAGGTGACTTCGCAGAAACTACGTCCTTCACGCTCTTCGTCTGGGCGTGCGAGCATGTCCTGTCGCAGGGAACGTGTTCGGGTCGCGACGCGTCACGGCAGCCACTGCAGAGCCAGGCACCATCTGTATTGAACGCTCAATCGATTGGCAGATCGCCGCGTGCATGGCTGTGCATGCTGGCAGGCAGACTTGTCGGTTATTTCCTTTGACACTGGGCGGGAACGATTCATGATGAGCCAGCTAGCCAGTTGGATTTGAAGCGGGGCTTTGCGCTCGCAATCTAGCTCACAATGCCTCTGAGGTACATCCGGTCGAAAGTGTCGGCAGACGGTGTTCTAGACGTTGCGATCACAACGACTTCTGCGGTCCAGAACGTAGCCAGTCTCGTGTCTTTCCCGCCAGTCGCGATAGCTGCAGAGATCCTCCTGAAGATCTTTGAGGTTATTCAAGTATGTGACCCTCCGATCATAATTGTGAACGCGCAGATAGATATTCATTCCTCTGCTATAGCAAGTGAACGCAAACCAACGACAGTGTTATCGCTTAGCAAATCGATGTCTCTCCTTGCTGGTCGATATCAGAGACCAAATGGAAGGCCGGTGGCAAAATGCACCGCTGTCTCTTGTCAGAGCGCTCAAGAAATTTGAAGAGTACATGATTTGGTTTGCCATGTAGCATTGTGTCGACATGTTGTTTCTAGGACGCTCGGGTCGATATACGACTACCTCAAGACATCAGCGGACACCAAGTGGACAGCCCGTCTGCTGAAAAAGGGTAGCATTGAACGTGCACTTGTGGACTACAATGCGTCTGTGGATGATGCCGCCAGATCCTTCCAGGTGATATTAATAGTCTTGTTTGCACATTCTTGTACGCTGATGAGCGCCGCGCTCTCCAGATTGCTACTCTCATAGACATTCACTATGCCGTCGGCAACAAGGCAGGCACTGTAGAGCACGAAAATGTCCAGTCAGCTGAGGATCAATCGATTTTACCTGATTCCATGCGTAGAATCATGGAAGCCGAGCATATCGTGTCATCGCCTATGTCTTCGGTGAGGCAGTATTATGATGCATCATCGGCACCTGCAGTCTCACAACATTGTCTTTAGGGATTCCGCCCCCGAGTTACCGATGAGAATAGACAGAATTCAGTGACGTCTGATGATTTTGTGCTTGTGTCAGACCCGGAACAGAATGCAATGCTTGCAAGAGAAGCTACTAATGTTTTGGATCCTGACACAATGACAGCAGAAGACATTGAAGCCGCCCTCGACGACCGTGGCGTGAGTACCCTTCTGTCTCAGACTCTATTTATCTTCGCGAATGTCTTCTCAGTTCCGCAGATATCATCAATCGGACCTGGTGTTGCGAAAGTCGTCGCATACCAAGCAGGGCTGTTGGGCCGGAGCTACAGAAGCCAATGTCGATGGGCGGCACGCCCTCGTTATGCGTTACGAAGGCCCACGAGGAGTCGCAATGAAGGTAGCTTTGCGTGGTCAAGACGGGTGGCAGCCACTGAGCGTCACTGTAATAGAGATGGATACGCGACGTGAAAATCTTACAGAACGTATAGTAAGTTTCTAGGCTAGAGTGTTTTGAGGTCCAGCTCACCCCATCGAGTCATCCGAATCTGCCCCAGATGATTGGATATTCAGGCCAGGAATGCCCGACGCCTTTTATACTGCTAGCAAATGGTGAGTGCAAACGGATTCGAATTTATAACCGTTTCAAGTATTGAACTTGTCGTACCATGTATTAGTGCAGACACGGCTCCCACAGGCACTGGTCCTCGACTCAATCAAACACGCTAATATAGCTAGTTGCGTCCGACTCATCATGCGATTTGTGCGAAGCGCGCTATGCTGTTTTACGTGCGATAGGCTGACAGTGTGTGCCACAGTATAAAGATACATTAGTGGGTAAAGCCCTATTCTTTCGTTTCTCAGAGACCTGAATTTCTGCCCCTTTAGGACGCAGCACTCTATCTGCAGAGCCAGATGAGTCTTTCCGACTCCAAAATCCAAGACTATGTAGAGGTAAATATGATTGATATGTCAGAATCAATCTGCAGGATCTCAACTCAATATAGAATGCCACCTTCCGTATCGACGCGGAGCAGACCCTTATAATGGGTCTGCCACCACCTGAAGTAGATGCATGGCAGAGCTGGCGAAACTTTGGCCTCGCTCATTCGATCCGCGGAATTTACTTGAAGGCGAGTCAGTCCATGGGCGACATTCTACCCAGGACTTACAATTCATTTATTGACAGCTACTTCCAAACTACGGGTATGCAACTGAACCGTACGACCCAGCAGGCATTACAGGTCATCCTTGTATCCACTTATCGCATGCAAGTGTTCTTACGTCGGCGTTCTCAGATGATTTTGAATGGCAGCAAAAGATAAACCACTTATCGCTATTGCTGAATGCACTTCTGCCAAGTCTGGCAGACGCGCAGGTAGTGTCCGATCGAATGAAGCTCCTCCTGGACGAAGACGAGAGTGATAGTCGCGCTCAGCCATCTCTCCGCCAGCTCAGGCTGGCTGCGTTCAAGTCGAAGTCGCATGAACAAGTGTGGCGACAGAAGCTTGCTCCTGCGTTCAAATACGCCGTCGGCGACCTCGGATATGTCCCAGAGGGAGAATCGGTCGCATCGTTCAGGGTACTGCGAAACATCTTCCAGGATGAGCTGGGCTGCATGGATGTCGTTCATAACGCACACGGGAATCAATTTAGCTGGGAGACTGGTGCAGCCAACAGACAAGAGCTACACGCCTTTCCATCTCTGGACGGAAGATATGGGTGAAGCTGAGCTTACACCACGTCTTTCTCAGATCTGATAGATATCATGTCTTGTCCAGATGGCCCATCGTGCTTCCCACGGGCACGAGTCAGAACGTACAGGTCGTCCATGATCTGCATGTAGCCTCAGCCGGCCAGGCGTGGCATTACCTCCTCGAAAATGGGAAACGTCTCGCAGAGTGTCATAGCGTCAAGCCTGAGAACCTCATACTGGGTGAGTCATTCTGGGATCGCTACGGGGTCGTAAACCGGTCTTTAACTGGTACTAGTAACGCGGGCTGGAAACGATCAACGATTTGTACTACGCTCGACGGACTACAACCACCTCCGCTCGCCGCCAGGATTCGGCCGCCCTCCGCTTCAACAACGATTCGGCAACAGTGCATTTCAGCCTCCTTTTGGTAACACCCATGCACGCGGCCTCATGATGCAGCCCACTCCGCCAACCATAATGTATCTATTCACGTCGGGCGATGTCAATAAACCGCCGCTATGGTCGGATACGCCGGTATGCGGAGTCCAGGATGAACATTTAACCTCGAGAACGAAGTGCCTGATCAGTGTAGACGGGTCAGTTAGCCCTGGATGCTTGTATGCGCGCTTCCAGCTCATGATTGTCCTTAGACCCTATGGTTTCTTCGACTATGTGCAATTGCACGCGGAAGATTTCGCCGCATAGTGGGCTGCATGGACTGAACGGCCAGCAAGTTAACGAGATACTGCGTCATTATTCACGGCCAGGTCACCTAATGTGTTCCACGCCCGGTCTTGCTATAGTAACGGGCAATATGTGTGTCAGGCAAGGACTTAGTCAAGTATATAGCCCGGATGCCCATGGTTTTACCTCGAACGCGTTCTGTCACAAATCATGCTTTTGTGACACAGTGTTCCTTTCGGATCAGCGAACCTAAGTTTACTTATCCTACTTATATCTTAAAGTAAATCCTATGAGGTGATTGATCTTTCTATATACTCATTTGTTTACTTAAACCAGCTCACACAATCTTTTCTTTTCTTATGCAACCTTTGCGTCCCTTTCGTGTCCAAATGAGAGATGAAAGCGTTTTATTTTACACAAATAAGGGCGATAAGTGAAAGGTTAAGATTTGCTAACGTGTTTATTTATTATGTGCATACCCCAATCTGGATGTTATATTACTTCACGCTGTGTGGCTCCGAAAACACGCTGCTCGGCTTCCATCCTTGCCCTCACATCGCGGTCGACCTGCACACTCCCGACCATGATGCATTCAGAGGCCTTTGATGTAATCCCCTTTGAGGTGAGCTGAACGTAATGTCGAACCTCATCGAACTTCTGGTCTCAATTGTTTCAGGACATCAAGGGTGACTGGAAGAAGCTCGGGTCGGGGTCCTTTGGCAACGTCTACAAAGGTGGAATATATGCTTTTGATACCGACTGCACACTTATACATAGCCTCAGGGAACTATCTTGGCATTGATGTGGCCATCAAGGAGGTCTTGCCGTCGAATGACTATGATGTTGCCAAATACTTCGAGCGCGAGTGGAGGCTTATGAAGTACGTGTATCTGCCAGTGTCACCTACCATTGCGTGTTCAATCCATACAGAGAGGCTCGCCACCCGAACGTCGTCCTCTACCTTGGGTTATCTCAGGCCCCCGATGGCCGCATCTTCATCATCTCCGAGTTCATCGAGGGCGGTAACCTCCGGCTTTACATTCACGATAAATCCAAGCCGTTTCCTTGGAGACTTCGGTTGTCCTTTGCAACCGATATCGCTCGTGCTCTTGCATACCTTCATGCCCGCAAATGCATTCACCGCGATCTCAAGGGCGAGAACCTACTTGTCACAACCAATGGCCGCCTGAAGATCACCGACTTCGGTTTCGCTCGTATTGCTGCTCGGAATGCGGACGAGCTCAAGCGGCTCACTTTCTGTGGTACCGACTCGTATATGTCTCCGGAGATCCTCACAGGCACCGAATTTGATCTTCCTACCGACATATTCTCTCTCGGCGTGATATTCTGCGAAATTGCATCCCGTAAACTTGCTGACGACCATACCTTTCGTCGTGCCCCACCCGACTTTGTTGTTGATCCCGATGAAGTACGACGACTTGCTAGCCCTAGTTGTCCGCCGGCTTTCATCGCGTTGGCCCTCAATTGCCTTGCGCAAGACCCGACAGCGCGACCTGGGACACGCCTGATCCTGGAAAAGCTAAGGGAGATCGAGGCGGAAGTACTCTCACGTCCATCCGACATAGAGGACATGCACTTGGGTACAGTCAAGTTCATGACCGGTGCGGCGCGTCGACCTGGTGCGGCTCCGCGAATTCCTAGCTTCGGCATGGGTGTTGGGAGAGACATTCGCGACGCTGGAGGGCACACAATGACGGAGGGACATTCGAGCGACGAGGTGGACGACAGTGACGAGGAGCTGATGCAGGCTGTCGAACGTCTGAGCAGCGTTGATCTAAATAGTGTTCGGAGTGATGCGACGTCCGGTATGCCCTGCGGTGTAAATGTCGTTGCAGCACAATTCTCACACGTTTTACAGGTCAACGAGGCGATAGTGCGCGGCCTTTGATCGAGAGCACATCCAGCACGCATTCTGAATACAGCACCACGGTTATACGATCCCATTCCTTGAATGCGGAGTCCTCTGCGCCGTCGCTCTCTTCCATCCTCACCGTTCGACCGTCACCAGCTGCAGACCCCCCTCCTTCAGGCGCAAACGAAGTCACTCCTGCTGAATCGCTGCTCTCCATTGAATCATACTACACGGCTACCGCGTCTTCGCTAGCGGAATTGTCTATAGCCGCAGCAACGGAAGGTGGCTCCACCATCCGCAGTTCGAATCTGCCGCTCGTGCATCGTTTCTCGCTTCTCAAACCAGGCGCGAAGCGCACAAGTGCGAACGGGAGCAGAAGTCGGAGCGCATCGCCTCCGAGTGGGGACATGTTATGGAATCGCAACCCGCTCGAGTTTATTTTCTCGAGCACTCTTCTGGCCGCCAAGTGCGACGTGTGTAGCAAGCGCCTTGGTTGGAAACCCGTGCTCGAGTGTGACGACTGTGGTCTACGGTAATACATCACTTTTGGGATATTGCATCCTTTTGATCATTCAAATTACCTTCCACAGGGCGCATGTCAAGTGTGGCGAGAACGCCCCAATGGACTGCGGCATTCGCCCGCCTCGACCTGGCGTGCACCATAACACTGCTCCGCTATCCAACCCTCCTTCACCCGCGACCAAAGCAAAGCCAAACGGAAAGACTGCCTCGCCCAAGTAGATGCTTTGGCGACAAATTTTACTGTTCTTCTTGACGAATTTCACGACGCTCACGACCTCATAGCAATCAGTCATATCGATCTTCAGACCCTTTCTTTCGCCTCACTATAGCGTCCACGTAGTCGCATCTGTCAATCATACCATTGCAGTGTTCATGTAGCCTGTAGTGTCATCCACGGACTCGGCATAAGTTAACCCCGTTGTCGCATTTTTGGAACAGTTATATGTTATAGTTGAAGCTCGCCGCTGAGTACCATGTAATCATGGGTTCTGATGTAATCGATCCTTACTTTAACAATCATTCTTGGCTGTTCAGTTGTTTGCGGCCAACAGCGCACAATAGTCAATCCGCACTCGTGCACATAATGTTGAAGCACCCATTGTCAAGTACCCGCGGTCATACGCTCTATTATTTTGAGAAACAATCTATACGGGCAAGGAAACGATTTGACTGACGGAAAAAGACGAGGGAGAATCGTTACAGTAACAAGCCAAAATCGAGAGAGGATCTTAATCGTCCTGGGGACAGGACACATATAGTTTATGGCGGTCCTACTTATTGCAATCCTAACGAATACATCTAGCACTTACAGAATGTGAAGCACCAGAGATGTAACTATGCAAGAGCCATATAAATAACTGATAGCTCTCCTCGAGCGACACACAATGCACTGGCTGGACAGCTACCAAGAGGGTATTGTGTATCGCTCCATGAATGCAGATTAGAGAACGCTACGAAGGCAGTTTTCAGCGGTAGCGAAAAAAATCGACCGTCGACTGAAGGCTTCAGTCGGTGTTGAAGCGAATCGGCAATAGCAACTCTGTCGTACGCTGGAAGCACCGGATCGTCCAGTCTGCCATTGGGTAGTCGACAAAGTACAACAACTGATCGATCAGGGTCGCGCCCGAAATAGCAGGCGCATCCCTCCGTTCATTACAGCCTCAAAAATCGAACACGCAGCAGTGAAAAATACTTGCACATTCTCATACACGCTGCCATCATATGGAGCATCACGAGCTTGCTGCAGTAGTAAGTAACACGTGTTAAAGTTCGTCCGAGACCCGAAGCGAGAACGATCGACGAAGATATATCGCGTTTGTCTGAGCTCTGTCAAACGCGTAAGGAACATACAGGACGGCTCGCGCAAAGTCTGCGAGGTACTAAAACCAATGCTAAATACGGTGGCATGCGCTCGCCACAATCTCAAGTTCCAACAACACGGCGTTCTTACGCGGGTAAAGGCCTTAATGGGTTCAGGAGGTCGTGTCGGTCACTTAGACTCGATACAAGACCCGGTAATAACACGACGTATACGATGACAGGGAACAAATACAGCGGCTATAACTAAGACAGCTATAGACAAAGCAGGAATAAATTACACAGCGCGACGAATGCGAATACTGAAAATCAGCACAAAGGAATTGACCCGAAAGCAACAATACAAACACACGTCGACGGCTATAAGACATTGACGAGATCGTACCGCTGGGTACCAGAACCTAGTCATGCGCGATATTGGGGACGCGCGGTATTCCATTCCTCTTCCTCCCTCTTCTCGTCCAGCAGCTTCGCTCGATCTCCCTTCTTGAACGACTCACGGTGGAGCAACGCTTCGAGGCATTTTTCCAACATCCTCCTCTTCGGATCCTCCCAGGCGGTTGTGCGCGGGCGGCCTCCGCAGATCTCACAAAAGGCAACGTCTTTTCCACATAGCCAGTGTGTCGACTCGCAGTGTCGCTGGTACTCTGCCCACTGGACCTGCCATCCCTTCCACGACTGTCCATGTCGACTTTGCGTCTTCTCCTTGCACTGCGGGTCCGGGCACTGACATGCTGCCTTGGAGTCCTGTTTGCCGCGGGCGTCCACAACCCCATGCGCGGTCTTCATGTGGCTCCCGATCACATCGGGGGTACCTGGCTCGACGCTACATCCCGCCCACAGGCATCGCACCTGGGCCGCTGCTGGGGGTTCATGTCGGAGGCCAGGTTCATGTGTCATGACATGTGCCCACATGTCCTTACTTCGAAGACCGCGCACCTGGCAATCTGGCCAGGTGCATTCGTGGAGCCCACTTGCGCGGAGCTTGACGCGCTTGGGGCAAAATGAGTGGCCGGACATACTGCCCACGGCTGCATCCTCATCGCGCTTGCGCTTCGCCGAGGTCTTGCCCTTGCCTGCATCCGGGAGAAGGGGAAAAGATCCTTGTGTGGAAGAAGAAGCGACCGGAGAGTCAGGTCGCGTAGGGGGAGGGGTGGCTGAAGAGTCAGGCAAAGTTGGAGGAGGGGTGACCGGAGATTCGGGTAAGGTGGGAGGGAGGGCGGCTGGAGACTCCGATAGCATTGAAGGAGGAGAGGCTGGAAACTCAGGCAGCGTAGGAGATGGATCCGAAAACAGTGACAAAAGGAAACTAAGAATACAACAATATGGGTCAGTGCGCCAGCCTTACATCGTGGACAAGGACAGGGTGGAATAAATGCATACATCCTGAGGGGCATCAGTTCTGCTTTAGTAGGAAAAGCCTCCCTAGGAAAAGGGTTGCCTCAGAGATCAGGGATCGTTTGGGATTGGCAGGAAGATAGTACCTGGTGTCGCACAGCATGTCGACATGGATGATATCCTCGAGTTTGACGTGAGTGGCGTCTTCAGTCACAGGTGTCGACGCGTGCATTGTCATTGTTGTGTGTGAGTGTGCGGGTGAGAGGAGTATATCGGTTGTATCCGCGGGTGTGGTGGTGGAGGACAAAGAGAGGATTCGTCCGTGGGTGTGGGGGTGAGGGAGAAAGAGGAGATTCGTCCGCGGGTCGCCTCTTGTACCCGCGCGCTAGAGGAGGAAAACAGACCAAAATAACGCGTCCACCGTGCACGCGCACAGCGGCATATCCGACCAAACATACCACGCACGAAATGTCTACGCAAGCCCACATTTGATATCGCGCACTAAGAGACATGCGACCGATGGCTCAGAGCCATCGAGATCGTGGTTCTCACCGCGTGTGGGCATGCCAGGTGCCCAGTCGTCTGTGCCACTGAACTTCCTCATTACCCCCAACCCACATGAATTGCATGGCACGATGCGTCTGCAGGCAGGGCATGGATAAGTGGTCCCCAGCACAGAGCGACACTTGCATAATTTCCAGGATACTGGAAACGACGAGTCTCCCTCAAGAAGGATGCGATCTTTGTGTCCGGCGAGACGTTGCATTCGAGCAGATTGTGCCACTCACCTGTTCCTGCCGACCGTCGGCCGCGTTCCATGCCCAGACTGTGCCCGCTATCCTCGAGGTCGTCCTACACCCGTGTACCGACGCATTGAAGCTCGACAGCCTAGAGGAGTCGGGAACATCCAATTGACGATGAGGAGCTCTTCCGTCAATTAATCGCCTTATGCTCTTCGCCGTTGGTCGATAGTCTGCGCCGACGTCCGCGGATTTCATCCTGCCCCGTACATCACATTGCACGACAGTCTGTGCCGCGAATGGACGCGAATCAATGGATATGCAGCAGCACAACTCGTTCGACTCTGCTGTGCCCTCTCAGGATAACGTTAACCAGCCTCTGTTACAGACCATCCACGTCCGACGGCATTGGATGCACCGCCACGACGTGCTGGAGGGGGGAGGCGATCACACCTCTCCTGGTCGATACGCACGGCCTGGACGAAGGTGTTAACCCGTCGGGGCGAATCCTGAAGCAAGAATCAGAAAATATATACCTGTCATTGGGAGACGCGCCCATAGTGCATTTTTTGGCAAACGGGTTTCACCCAAATTCTGGCGCGAATATATGGCGGCGACACCCATTTGTGGTCGTTGGGGTGTCCGAATACTCGATATCGTTCTTCAACATAGTCAGTACGTGTCTCTTTGTTGTTAGTCAGTCAGTAATCTCCAACGTTTCCTTCGTCAGCTTTGCCACAGACAATCCCCAGGCGTGGATGGACTCACCTGTGTTCATGGGTGTCCGAAGTTAACAAGTGCTGCGGTCTTCAAAAGACCACTTTGGGGCCACCACGCCACAGCTTCATCGGTCAAAGCGTTCGGCGCCACTATCAACCCCTTTTGCACAACTCCACCACCCAGTCGATACCATACGCTGTGGCACCAACAAACACGACAATTGCAGTATTCGCGCGTTGGCCATGACTACGTACTGTTGTCCACACACTAGGTTTACCTTCCGTCGTGACGACGGCCACGGTACCTGCGCGACGCTCGACAGCCATCTATGATGACCAGAGTGAGAGCGACTCACTCCGTAGGCTACACGCAGGTTGAGGGGCGCACTCGAGACTGTCGGCGGATATAGTAGCTTATATTGGTGCGTTCTATCTAGTATTCCACCCTCTGCCCTTCTACGCTCGCCACATGCAGAGGACACGCGCACAAAGAGCTCGGAGTGATCGCAAGCATTGCAACGAGGCCGCTAAGTTACTGGCTTCGCGCACCATGGAGAAGTCCTGGTATACACAAGACGTCCAGGGCAGAAGCCTACAGGAAATCTGAACAGTATAATGAGGAACGTCAGTTGTTGCTGACACTTGCGAACAGAGAACTCATCGAGCTATGCGAGCATCCTCGTCTAGCCGCAAAGCATCGCGCATGACTAGACTTTGTGTTACACGACTAGTTAGCACCAACAGAGCCCGGGACCACGTTTATGCGCTCCTAACCCGTCAGCAGCCGCATTCACAAGTAACATAAGCTCTTAAGTTTTGCGAATCCATTCTGAAGTTATATGACAGAGCACTACAGGTTTTGCCTTGACGAACCACTCTGTCAGGCCCACGCGGAAAGACGATGCTGCGTCATGGAGCCTTTTGCGGTTGGCTGTTCCAAAGGCAGAGACAGCATGAAGCCACCTTCGACGCTGCATATGAACAGCCTGGTTTTTCTACAGCAAACTGGTGGTGGTCATTTTGACCTCGTGCATTTCCCAATGTCTAGCAAGCGTCATTCGGTGCTAAGTGTGATGTTTGCAACACATGATCGTTGCCGGATGCAACAGAAATACGACGTGTCACTCACAACAAACGCAGAGCTACCGGCGGCCAACTCTAGGCGGCGGCGAATCGCTCTGGGGGCTCGTGGCAATCCGCGGAGCTTCGTTATTGCAATGTGAAACATTCGCGAGACCAGTCGACGGGGATACCAGACGGGCAGAAGCGTGCATGCAGTGAGTCGCACAGTGCATGACAGATTCGAGAGCTTAAGATGGAACACATAGTAACTCTGTGACGCTGGCGAGGCACGAGTGGGCGTCAAAGACGATTGTCTGTGTCTGCACGGCAGTAAGCGCTGAGGTTATTGCGCTTGCTTTTGACTACACCGTTCACCTCACAATCTGAACACTATCTAAGTGTTGTCTTTCTTTTGGCCCACCTCACCCTCCCTTTGTGCTCACTCTTTCTGCTCCATGTCCCTTGCCCTTCACTCGCTTGTGTGGTTCCCTTGCCTCCTGTTTTGCCTCGCCCACCGGCTGTCTTGCCCCCATCTTTCGCTTAGGCCTGCTAGTGTACCCTTCCATGGGCTCCATCACCGCCTACTCCCGCCTATTTAGTGTGTTCTTCCTGCTTCCGCTCAACCATCCCCCATGTCTACCTTTTGCCCCCCGGCTGTGGCTGGTGGCTTCGTCGAGCGTGAAGACCGTCTGCGGCTTCACCGTTTGTTCTCCTGGGTCAGCGTTGACTCCGGTTTAACCTCCGCGTCCTGTATCCTTCGCCCAGATACCTCCCCTCCATCCTCACTGTCCGGCACTCCGCCTGCACCTCGTGTTCTTGTTGCGTCGCGCGTCCACACCCCCCATGCACGCTCCAAGTGGCTCCTCGCTGAGCCAAGCCTGCATCCCATCCGCCTCGGCATGGCTGTTCAACTCTGTGACCCACGTGAGCGGCACTCATCCTTCCATGGTCGCATCTCCCACGTGCACCATCATGCCCGCCACTGGGTGGTTTTCTGTGTGGCTCCTGAGGACCTCCTTGACGAGGACACCTTCCTCTGTGTGCCCGTTGACAATGTCCTGCTCCCTCTCATCACCAGGCTGCGGCGTGCACTCACCTATCTGTCGCGACTTGGGGTCAAGCGACAGGGGAAGATCTGAAAGCTGGGGGCGTCCGACTAAATCTCACCGAAGCGATGGTGAGCAGCGCTCAAACCTAAGGCTAGGGACAAGATAGTATATTAGTTAGTTAAGTAAGAAAGGAATACAAAGGGGAGCTTACTGACCTAGGGACAAGAGGTCGAAACTGAGGTCCCTAGGGCAGCAGAGGCCGGCTTATATACATGGGGAGATTAGGGCAGGCTGTGCACGTTGGTCCGTGCGCAGCTGGTCTGTGCGCAGCATGCCGACGCGGCCCCGGGGGCCGGTGAGTCAGAGCGGCTGTGTCAGCGGGGCCCGAGCTGTGCCGTGCGCTGCCG